CTGTAATCATCCTCCATCAGATAGAGATGGTCACTAACCTGTGTTCTCCTCCTGCAGAGATTCCTGCCTTAGACGCCAATGCTGTTCGCTGCAGTTCCATCTTAAATAAAAATTTTGTGAAACCTAACTGTCTCTCCACAAAGCCTGGTCCTCTTGTTCAGAGTCTGACAGACAGTTGTTAAAAGTGGTCTTTTATGGAGTGCAAACTGCTACTGCTGTGTGTGGGTGTGTAGTTAAAGCCTGGAGATTGATGAGGAATACGGATAAAATGTAACATGACTGTTCAGACAGTCAGTGCTTAGAAAATTATCTGATACGTATCTGACTTAGTAACACATATGGAAGGGGCACAACTGGATGTTTTGGGGATTAATAGATCCAAATCGGGTCATTCACACTGCAATTAAAAATAGGGATATTGCCTGTATTTCCCTGAAAGGTGAATGCAGCAAAAGTTGTATAAAAATTATACAATCCCCCCACCCCTCCACACCCCCGCGATAAAGAATACTATCTAAGCCTCTGCTTTAGGTCCTCTTTTTTCTAAGATGAGGCATTTTACTTTCTCACTGTTAGACAAAGACACTGAGCTGACTCGGCTGATTGCTGCTTTTCGTGGCATTTACCGTCTAAGAGCTTGTATTTCTCACAGTGTTTCAAAGCTGTTTTCGCTTCACTTTTACCTAAACATACAAAGTACTCTGGGATCATTGGATTAGCTCCTTGGATTTGTTGTGTCTTCTTTGACCAAACTCTCAGTTGTTCATAGCTGATGGCTGTTCACCACAACGCTTTATCAATTGGTGTTTCTTTTCACTATAGCCACATACATGCTGAGTGTGAGGTTTCCCGCAAATTCAACAACTTGATTTAATCAGCTTTCAAAATTACCTACCGTACATCTATCCATGTGGTATTGGTACATAATTAGTCGTTCAATGCAATCATACAGATTTTTTCCTTTTTTTTGTTCGCCATTTAGCATTACAAACTAAACTTGACTGCAGTGAATAAGAATGCATGTTTGAATGTCTTTGCAAATTAAACTGATCATGGAAAGTTCCATTTAAACTGTGTTTTTGTATAAATAAACTCTATGAAATTGTTTAAAAATTCCCCCCAGACTCAGTTAATTCGCAGTTGTAACATAATAAAATGCAAAAAACCTCTGCATTCTGATGAAAACGAATTGTGTGATTCTGCAACATATAGTACTAAAATGGGTTATGATGCCTTTCTTATATGTATTAAAATATCTCACAGCAACAATTGCAACAAAGAAAAGATGCACTGAACAAACTTGGAAACCTCTAAAGCTTTTTCTAATGAAGTTACAGGTAAATCTTAAAAAGTACAGTTTTTTTTTCGAGCAATTTTTCCTGGTAAAATGTCAAAGATTAATTAACTTATTGAAAATGTCACTTTAATGTTCTCTGAAATGATAGTTGATATCTGCATACAAAGAGGTATTCAAATAATATCAGAAGTTGAATGTCAGATGATATACCCAAGGGTCAAGGCACTGATATTTAAGTTTAGATGAAGGAAAACATAAAAAAGAAGAAGAATACATATCTGAAATTTTCCATTAAAGTGAATCTATCCTAAATTAGAATTAGATGTTTAACAAAAACTCTCTGCAACAAATAGGTGATGCCTGCAGTCAATTATGTACCCACAAGAAAATATTTTAAATCTGTATTAAATAAAAATGACCCATTTGCTGTTGTCTGATTCTACATTTTATATAAATATAGCTCCTTGTCCTAAACAAATATTTAACATTTATCTTGTGTGATACAAGCTGGGGGTAATGATTAATGTAAAGATCTGTAACTAATTTGATAAGACAGGGCTTTTTTTCATTGTATATATATATCCTCCTTTCTAAACAACATATGATACTCTGTCTGCCTTTTTTTCCACAGATATTATGTCAAGGTAAGTGCTTTTTTCAAGAGGATAAAATACAAGACCAGCTCCAGTAAAAACCCAGGGAAATTCATACTCTGGAAGAGAAATCAGGTCATGTAAGGAGATGGTATGCTGCACAAAGTATTACTGACAGAACCCCCTTGGCATAATATGAGGCGGCTACCTGGTGTTTGCCTCTTGAAAACAAAGGGATGTATGGTGGGGTGATAAATTTAGGGAAATCAGATGGTAGAGGCCTTTTGGACTCATGTGAAATCTCCGAATAATCCAAACAGCAGGGACAGGCACAGCTGGGGAAACGGTACAAAGACGACATGGACAAATAGAGACATTATTTTCCCAAACTTGGAGTCACATTGAGACAGCTGCTGGAACACGAAGAAAAAACTTTGGTCGCTAACATACTGTATCTCCTCCAAGTACTTTAATATTAGCAGCACTTTGTGTCCAGTACTTTCATTAGAATACAAATAATGTTACCAACAGAAGTCTGTTTGGTTTCTTATCCTTTTACTTAAAAGAATGGCTGGATGTATTAACCTGATAAAGGTTGAATTTATTTTGGAATAAGGTAGATTTCTATAATGGTATGTTATTCTTAATTTTTTTTTTGATACACATGTCTAAAATTGTCTAATTTGATATAAGAAGAAGGCTAACTTTGGATTACGGAGCTTATCCTCATTCGTTCTTTAATGTTTTTTCTTGCTCATCTTAAAGTGGAAATACAATGCATCCTCACTTTTAATGAATGAATGCCATAAATACAAACTGCTACACAGTTTGTTGCTTTGTCTTAAATAAACTCATATTTTTAATTTTTATTTCCAGATATAATAAAAAGAGATCTCCAAAACTCCCCTTTTAATTCAAATAAAAAAGTATTGTGGAATATATCTACTTCATTAACTAAAGGTTTGATTTATCATACTACAAACCATGATTGTTATACTCCCTACCATTTGCTTTTGGCCTTTGTTTTATATAATTTTGTTATACAAACCTTTGCCTGCAATAGTTGCCTAGAACAGGACCCAAGCACTTGAGAAACATCTTTCCTAAAGAGAAGGAAGAAGTCATAAAAAGATACAAAATAGTTAAAGTGGCAAGGAACAAAGAAATTATTGATTCTATATCATAGGATCAATATCGTTTGCAATTAACAACCTTTTTCTAAGGAAGTCCTCTCCTTAATCTTATTTTTTCACAACAAAAAACACAATATAACTATATTATTTAATTTTATTTTTCAGTCATGCCCTTTTTTAAATGACTATTGTGTACATATCAGCAGCACTTTCTTGCTTTCGTGCTGATTTTGATTCAGATTTTTCCTAACAAATTATTTTTTTTTGTGCCAGCATCCACATCCACCGGGTTGTTTTACTTAGCCTATTGAGAAATACCAATAATAGTTCTCTTAAACAGAATATAATGGCACCAGTGAGGTCATACTCTAAACTATAGTGCCTGTAAACTTGCGGTGAAGTAAAACAAAATTTCAGCAGGAGGCTGCATCTTTGCAAGCTTTTGTTTACTGTAAATTCTGTTCAAACATGTTGCTTGCTAAACAGTTTTATATTAGTGGACCATTTTAGCAGATGTTGTAGGTTCAGGTGTCACCAGATCTTTGGACTCTCTTTTTATTGTGAATTTAGATAATTCCCAGGCTCATAAGCTATTTGCTCCCATAAATTTGTTCTTGCAATCAGAGGGGGTAAGGCCAAAACACAGAACTCCTAACACAGCCACTCAGAAATAGGTGTTTTACCCAAATCCCGGAACAAAGGACAGAAGAAAGGAAAGAAGGAGGGAAGGATCGAATGAGGGAGGGAATGAAAAAAATCACAGAAGGAAGGAAGAAAGGAAGGAAGGAGGAAAGAAAGGAAGGATGGGGTAAGGATGAAAAGAAGAATGGAAGGAGGGATGGAGTAGGAAAGGAAGGAAGGAGGTAAAGAAGAAAGGAAGGAGGGAAGAAAAGAAGCAAGGAAGGAAGGAAGGAAATGTTGCACTATAAATGCTTACTCTGAATGATTGAATGATTAAATGATTAAAATGATAAAATGCTCTGCCAATGATTAGAAAAGAAGGGCGACAGAATAAAATAAAATTTTAATCTTAGCCCACTGGTGAGTTGTGCTGTTTTCAGAAGATGACCCCATGAGGCCCCTCAGGGCCGATTGATGCCTGTGGGCACCACGTAGGTGACATCTGCTTTAAAAGATTTTGTTGATATTTTACAAAATTAATTCACAGACACATCTTTTAATGTTATTTTAAGGTAAAATGGCCTAAAATGGCACTATAAGTCACCCAACTTTCACTCTGATACCTCTAAATAAAACAGAGTTTAAATCTGCATCTGTCTGTCTAAACTTGGTTGAGGAGAGAGCCATTATTCCCATCCAGAAGTGAGTGGTAATTAAATACACAGCCTTTATTTACTTAAAAAAACAACAACTTTAAAGTACTGTTACTTTAGTGCACTTTTAATTGTTTTGTTTAGCCTAATGTTTGCAGTTATATTGGTTTTATATGGCAGGGTAGACCGTCAAAAGGATTAAAGAAAATCAGCTGATTTAATTTGTGCTTTTTCAAGTGTTTCAAAAACATTTTTGGTGTGGCCAGTAAACAAGCAACGGTCTTGCATGAGTATTAATACTCATACTTCAGTGAATTTTCTGGCTACTTCATTTACCAGGAGAAAATAGTATACTAGACAGTTAATATTGTCAGTGAAAGTTATTTATCCCCATGGTTAAGCACAGTGGTGGCAGCATCATTCTGGAGGATGAAGTATTAAATACTGAAGAAGAGACATGGTATTTTTATTCTTTTCTTGCTGTATTTCAAGACATAAATCTCCCTTTAAGAACTCCAAAACTCAAGTTTAAACCTGCTGTTACTGTTGGAGAGTTAGAGACAGATTTCATATTGAACCTTGTCTTTCAAAAGAAGTAACTTCATTCGGAATTGGTAGAACCTGTGAAAAAAATCCCAAAGAACAGGATCAACATGTTACTAATATCGACTTTTGAGGGAATGAAATAAAGTACAAGAAAGAATGGCAAATAACAGTCATATTTACTTTAAGCTTTACAATCAGTGTAATAAAATGCACATAAGGAATAGTTGTAAATTTATTTTTTTTTTATAATTTATTGTAACTTCAAACAAAAATAATTTCTACAAAAAATATTCAAATAATGTCATATAATTGATACGTGGTTTACATCTTTCCTTCTCTTCTTTAGACATCTGATTAGTTGAAAGTTGGTAAACTCTGCTTTCTGAATACAGTGTGAGGATTAAATCTCGTTAAGCGTGGCAACAATCACTCATTCCTACAACAACCATAATAGTGACTAATTTCCTCTTTGTCTTTTTTTATTTATTCATAACCCCCTCCCCCCGTATATGATATAATATATATAATCTCAGCGACTGCTAGTGGGCTGAAGGTACATCTCAAAATAAAAATGCAGCAGAAAAAGAACAAATGTCAAATCAAGTCTCATCTTCTTGGGGAGAAATGAAACTTGGATAATATACTATGTAGGCCGTAGCAGCAGAATTAAACAAGCTCATTTGGATCCGCCGGTCTGACCACACACACGCGCACACCTTCACACAAACGTCAGCTGTCAGTCTAACAGATGAGACATCTTTAACTCAACCAAGAAGAAGGGAAACAGAAAAAAAGTAGATCCTGGTGGTTTTCTTTCTTTTCTTTTTTTTTAACAGCCATTCCCTTTGAAGTGAGACAGTGGTGATTTAAGTGTTTTCTTTTATGCTTTTTGGTTTGATGCACATTGCTCCAGCTGAGAAATAAAGGGAACAGTGGTTGGTATGATTTTCTTCCCCTTCGACTGCATCTCTTCTCTCTGAGGCGTTTATTTCTCTGCTTGTCCTTCTCACACCTGAGAACACACTCGGTGTCATAACAGTCCTGTGAGGTGTATAGGTGTGAGCTTGCCGGGGCTTAGGTAGTGTTTGGTGAGAGTGTGTGCTTGTTGGAGTGCTGTTGCAGGGGTCCATGACTCGACAGGCTCTCCCCTCATGTTCTTTGTCGTCTCCCCCCGTTCCCCTTTTAGTGTGTTTATACACACTTATATGCGCACTCTTCTAGTGTCTTAAAGGTGGACAGGAGGGGGGGGGGGGGGGGGGCGGCTTTTTCGTGGCTCAGTGGTGTGATAACGTGGCCAGCAGGTAGCTTAGAGTGCAGAGCAGAAGGGTGGCCGTGGAGAGGTGCGGCGAAGTGGCAAGGTTGCAGTCCTTGCCCGCTTCGCAGCGGGTCTGTTGGCACAATACCCCTTTAAACTCTGGAGGGCAGATGCACTTCTGGTTCATGTAGCACGTTCCCCCGTTCTGGCAAAGGAGCATCTCCTCATCACAAACGTTAGCTGTGAGCAGAGGTGAAGAGAGGGAGGGAAAGATGAAGGGAAAGAGGGTCAGTTAGATGAGAAACAAGATACAGAGCGGGGAGGGCAGAGTTCAGAGCGGAGAGAACAAAGCAGGAAGGATAGTGGGGGGAAGGAAGAGGGACAAGATAAATGCTCTAGTTTTTTCCTTGGGGACAAAAAAAAGTAACACCTGGTTGTTCATGTTTTTTTTTTTGCAGTCCTTTTCCAGTTTTTCTTAAGATTGCACTTTCCCGGTTTTGAGCAAAAAACCCTTTGTAACATCCAGCAAAATATATAAAAAGTGCATGTGTGGAACTTGCTAAAATATGATCTATGGAACGTGGAGTATCATTAAAGTGATATTAAAAAGAATTAATTGGATACATAAAAACTCTTCTTTTTGTCAACAGTCATGTTTCCATGGCCAGAAATGAAGCTTAAGTGAAAATTCAATCTGGAAGACTCTTATCAGTTTCACCTGAACAACCTGCTATTTTCCTTATTTAACTTCAGCCAATCAGCATCAGGACAACACCTCCTTTGAAGCCAATCATCTTGCAAGATCTTCTTCATTAAGCTCCCGCCCTAGCTTCTCTCTCCCACAGGCAAGCAAACTTTCACCCACCTCCACCTCATCTCATCCCTCACTCTCAGACTATTCTCAGGGGAAAGACTACTCTAATCCTGTTCTAGGTTACTCATCCAAGCTGTTGGGAGCTGGAGAAGATCCCATCTTTCTCCAGCAGAGTCCGCCGTGGATCCTCTGAGGGAGCCTCCTGCACAGCTGCAGCTCATCTAGATCATCAGAGGATCCACTATATAAGCTGTCTTCAGACCTTGCCTCAACGCCGCAGTGTTGTTCCAGTTGGTCAGCGCTAAAGCCTTGATCTTTGTTGAATCTTCATGACTTTGAATCCAGATTGGATTCTAATCACTGTCTCTGTGTTTCCAGGAAATCCGTGTCTCCTCCGTGAAAGCTCAGGAAGAGCTAACCTGCCGACCCGACCCTCTGAGCCAAACCCTGAAGATTCTCTGAGAACCTCCAAGCAGCTCTGGACTAGAGCTGGGAAACCAAAGCCAAGGTCTGTTCATTGTAGACGTGAGACGCTGAAGCAGCTAGCGGACTCTGCTGATGAACCCCTCTCCAGAACCAACAGTGACTCTCCCAAAGAGAACCACAAGAACCCTCAAGGTACAATCAGTGCACCTTTGGAATTCAAATCCTGTCAGCAGTCCATAACAACGCTGTCTCTCACGCAGTCGCCAGTGAACCAGTTTTCCCAGGCCCCGAACCTGAACCAGGACTTTCTGTGTGCTTGTGCTAAATAAACTCTGTTTACCCTTTACTCCTGTTTCCGCCTCAGTGGTGTTCTGCATAATTGGGGTCCTCCTTGAGAACCATTCATGACAGAACACTGCGGCCAACAAGATTACCCAGCGGAACCCCTCTGGAGGCTTCTGAAGGATCTCCCGACCCGGGTTCAGAACCTTGAGGTCTCCCTCCGTGCTAGCCAAGATGATTTGGCTAGAAGGATTGAGAGAGCCATTCGTGATGTCCTGGACCAGCTTATGGACAGATTCACCGGTGAGCTCAACACTCAACTTAATAAGTTTTTCCAGGAGTTAGCCGTTTTTCACAGTCAAACAATTCCTAGGACGGAGCCTGTTAAACTTCCTGTTCCGGAGCCAGATCCGCCTCCGATGCCAGAGCCTGTCACGTCACTTCCGGAATTCCGCCCTAGCCTCCCTGAAAAGTTTTCGGGTAATATGAAGGACTGTAGGGGATTTTTGTTTCAGTGCCAACTAATTTTTCAGAACTCTCCTGGCAGTTTCCCAACTGACCAAAAAAAGATTACGTTTATTCTGTCCCAGTTAACCGGACGGGCCCTAGAGTGGGCGGAGGCAAGGTTTCCCTCCGAAGACAGCCTTAGTTGTGACTATTCCGATTTTGTTTCAGAGTTTTCTCAAGTGTTTAATCAAGAGTCTGACCGAACAATTGATTCTCGAGCCCTGTTAGACTTGAGACAGGGTAATTCAACCATGGCCGAGTTCTCCATTGCCTTCCGGGTTAAGGCTGCAGCTTCAGGCTGGAATGAGTGCGCGCTCAAGAGCGCTTTCTACAAGGCTTTAAATGAAAACATTAAAGATGAGCTCGCCGCGCTCGAGGAACCCGAGACCCTGGAGGAACTCATCAGGTTGTCAATTAGCTTAGATAACCGTCTACGAACCAGATCCAGATCAAAGTTTAAGGGTCATATTTTTCCTGTTTCAGTTTCTACAGCTAGGAGAAGGGACACCTCTTCTTTTGCTCCTCCTGAAGTGGAGTTCAAAACTGAGAGGCGTGCCCAGCCAGTATCTGAACCTGTGTCTAGTACTCATTTTGCTTCTCCAGCCTTTGATTCACCGGAGGGGGAGCCTATGCAGATAGGTCACACTAGGCTCACACCCGAGGAGAAGAAGAGAAGGTTTAGGAAGAAGCTTTGCTTCTATTGTGGTAAGCCTGGACATTTTGTTCCTTCCTGTCCTGCGAAGAAAAGGCTTCGGGGGTCATCCGGAATTAAGAGGAGTCTGGTGAAGCATGATTTAAATAGAAGGTCTCCTCATCTTTTGTTACCTGCCACTCTGTTTTGTTCTGATCAGACTCTCACTCTGTCGGCTTTCATTGACTCTGGTTGTGAGAGAAACCTGATTGACCCTAATCTAGTTCAACAGCTGAACATTGAGACCATCCCTCTGAGGAGGCCGTTTAAGGTCTCAGCCATCGATGGAAGGAGTCTACACCAAGTTACCCACAAGACTCAGCCTCTCCTACTTCAAGTTTCTGGTAGTCACCGAGAGACCAGAACCTTTTTGGTTTACCCTTCAGCCTGTTCTCCTTTGGTTCTGGGATACGAGTGGTTGGAGCGACACAACCCTCATATAGATTGGGCTCGTAGACACGTTGAATCGTGGTCTCCCTCCTGCCATGCCTTCAGTCAGTCAACCAGTGCCTGCTCCGCAGAACCTTCTCGAGTCCCTCTTCGGCCGACCCGAGCATCCAGGGGCCCTCGGTGGGCGCCACAGGACACCTCGGAGGCTGCACCGGAGTCGTCGTGGGCGGCTCTCTCCATGTTACAGCCTGAGCTGCAGACGGCGGTCCTCTCTGAGTCTGCTCCGGTGCCGCAGTGGGCGGCCCCGCCCTGCACCTTTTTCTGAGCTGCTACCGGGTGTCTCCCGGTAAGATTTCTGAGACTTTCTTTGTTGACGTCCACCTTTTGTGGATTGTTTTTTGTTCTGGGACTCAGTTTGTTTTTTCCTTTTTCCCTCCGTCCACCCTGGGTGGGTTGGCTTTTTGTTATGGACTCAGCTTCTTGCCTACCTAGTTTGGTGCCCCCTGCGCCCACCCTTGGTGGGATGTTTTTTGTTGTTTCCTTTTGTTTTCCCTAGGTCTTGTCTGAAGCGTCTGGAATCCGCCCTTGGGGGGGGGGTACTGAACCCTGAAGATTCTCTGAGAACCTCCAAGCAGCTCTGGACTAGAGCTGGGAAACCAAAGCCAAGGTCTGTTCATTGTAGACGTGAGACGCTGAAGCAGCTAGCGGACTCTGCTGATGAACCCCTCTCCAGAACCAACAGTGACTCTCCCAAAGAGAACCACAAGAACCCTCAAGGTACAATCAGTGCACCTTTGGAATTCAAATCCTGTCAGCAGTCCATAACAACGCTGTCTCTCACGCAGTTGCCAGTGAACCAGTTTTCCCAGGCCCCGAACCTGAACCAGGACTTTCTGTGTGCTTGTGCTAAATAAACTCTGTTTACCCTTTACTCCTGTTTCCGCCTCAGTGGTGTTCTGCATAATTGGGGTCCTCCTTGAGAACCAATCATGACACAAGCGAATGTTGATTCACAGCTTCAAAGTTTTCTGCCTGGGCCTAAGCACCAAAGAACTTATTTCCTTTATTTTAGAAAAACTTTTTAATTGCAGCTTTTCTCTGTGTGCTTCCTTCCAGGTTGAAATGTAATTTATTTCATTTGCAACATAAACTATTTAATGGATGATGGATTGATGAGCTGTTTGACATCAATCCCTAAAAAAACTGCACATTTCTAATTACACTGTTCTTGATCTTTGTTCCCCACAAACAAATACAAACCAAACTGCATTAATTTCAGCTTTTTAGTATATATGTAAGACTGAAGCACCTGACTAGATGGTATATGAGAGAGGAAGGCGATTCTCTGTAATGGGGTTAAGGTGTGACAGGGTCATCAATTTAAAGAGCAGCTGATGCCTCTAATGAGCTACATGATCTATTCCCCTGTGTATGAAGAAAACATTGGGAGCGGCCATGAGTTAAGTGGCCGGTGCAGTCGAAAATGTCCTGGAAAGGCTGCAACATCCTTCGTCCTGCTTGCACTCACCGTAACAGCCTTGTTTCCAGTAGTATCCTGGCAGGCAGTCGTCACATTTGGCCCCCGTGGCTCCATCTTTACACTGGCAAAAGCCTGTGCCGTTACAGCGGTCATGCACGGAGCCTAGCTGGTTGCAGTTACACTCTGCAGGAAGAGAAACAAAACAAAAAACACTATTCCAACTTTTACGTTGTTGATTATTATTTATGACTTTAATAACTAACATTTCTGCTGCATGTGATCCCCTGCTTTGCGTATCTTGGGTGAGCATGGAAGGAAAAAGCCTCATGAGTTGTTTTCTTATTAATATAAATTTAAAAAAGGAAAAAATCAGTGTGTTAACTTAGATTGTTTTTCTATGTCATGAGACTGAATATCTAAGTGTCCTCCACCTCACAATATAGTTGTTGACATGGTAATGTATTTCACAAATAAAAAATTGATTATTGATTTAAAGGTGACTGTAAAAAACGTAAATCTCTTTTTGAAGTTTTATTTACAGCCATCTTGAAAATTATTAATTCCCCTTCAACTTTTCCATATTCTTTATATGTAAAAAAATTTGATTTATTAACTCATGATTTTGATGGATAGGTGAACACAAAACAGTGCGTGCTTGTGAAGTATAGGGAATAGTAGTTATGATTTTCCTATCCAAAATATATATATATATATATATATATATATATATATATATATATATATATATATATATATATATATATATATATATATATATATATATACATATATATATTGAAAAAAACTAAAGTGCCATCATTTTTTTTCTTTTAACTATTTTGAGTCTCCCTGAATCAAAACTTGTTTAAACCACCATAGGCTGCAATAACAGCTGCAAGTCTTTTGAGAATTGCCTCCACCTGCTTTCTCCATCCATCTTTTAGCATGTATGTCCACAGCAGGATGATTCGACCTTTCAGAGTTGACGCCTGGCATTTTATCTCTGTGTCCCCAGACCAACACACCTGAATCCCCTTAATTATCTCCTCAGCATGCAGTCATATTATACAGGCTTCTGCTAATGACCTCATTGTCTTAGGTCTGTTGAAACAGAGATGCTTTTAAAAGTTGCTGGATTTTGAGGCTGCTGGTGTAGATGGAGCGTTCGAGGGAGTTTGCAGGGTTATCTTTGTGTCTGCTGTTATGACACTGATGTTTGGTCTCATCTGACTAGAGAATCCTCTTTCATATGTTCACTGTGTGACCTACATGCAGTAGTTTATTGGATTGAAGTACTTATGCTTTCTTTGGGCTACATTCTTATAGGCCAGATTTGCAGACTGAATGACAATAGATCTCTCCAGCTCCTGCAATATTACCTTTGGACTGTTGGCTCCCTCTGGCTTGTATTCCATGGCCATTAAGTTGTGCAGCCATTTTTAACTTTGCAACCTCTTTTTTTTTTGGGGGGGGGGGGGGGGGGGGGGGGGGGGGGGGATAACAGCACTCCTTAAAAAAAGTCAGAACATTAATATATAACCTAATCATGCTCTAAAAAACTCTTGTCTGTCTTAATCTCTGCCAAGCCCCGTGTTTTCCTTAGACTGTTCAACAATGAGGTGACTCCTGCCAGCTAAGTCAGTTAGCTCCAGCTGTGCTGCAGCTTCACAAGGGACCTTCCTCACACTTTCCAGAATATATCAAACATACTCTAATGATTTAGGTGGTCTATTTAAGCTCCAAAACCTCCAGATACAATTTGAATTTCATCCACATCCTGCTAAATTGTGTTTTGCGACAAAGTAAAAGAATGCTTAAAATTCTTTTAAAAGGCTTTGAGGTTATGGAAGATTTTTGCTTTAATCATGCTTTGGATTTTTCTTCAGTAAAATGAAGCTTCATCAGATCTACAGCTTTGCGAGGAGTAGGGTGGCCATTTCTATAGCACCAAAAAGGAGGACATTGTGCGGCATATCAATAAATTACTAAGGTGTACATAAGAATCGGGTAAAGTCACATTTATAGCACAATTCTTAGTAGTTTAAAGAGGATGCTTGTGTAGCTGAATAGAACAAAATATTAAAGAAATGTAAAAAAGAATTGGTTCCCAGCATTTGTATTTATTTAATACATTGTGGTGTTTAAAAAGTGACAATTTTTTAACACGATTAATTTGTGCAGAACTGCTGCAATTGATCATAAAGCAGTTGTTTGGAAAAGAAGCTCGAGAAAAAGCTAGAGAATAGGACGATGCAAACTGCAAAAAGTGGCTGGAAAAGAGGAATTCATGACATGGCTGCAGCCTGTCGAGAGTAAAGATGATTTCACCATGTTCTCTATCTATCTATCTATCTATCTATCTATCTATCTATCTATCTATCTATCTATCTATCTATCTATCTATCTATCTATCTATCTATCTATCTATCTATCTATCTATCTATCTATCTATCTATCTATCTATCTATCTATCTATCTATCTATCTATCTATCTATCTATCTATATATATATATATATATATATATATATATATATATATATATATATATATAAACTTGAGTCATGGAACTGTGCTTACAGCTCCTTATTTCATGTAAACTAATAACTTGTGTACATGATACTTGTTGATGGCATTAAAATTATTTCTAATAAAAGAGCATTAAATTAGAGTTCCTCATTCCTGTATAAAACCTGTGAACGCTTAATTTAATCTGACATATTTAAAAAATCCCCATCATCATCCAGCAGATGTTCATTTTCAGCTCAAATATTTTCTTTCTGTTGTGGATTTTTGTAACAGGGATAACTAGGATCATACATACTTTGTATGAACTCTGTTTATTCTCTGCTTCCAAACTCATCATCTCTTCATCCATTCCTGCAATAAGAATTTTCTTTTAAAGTTGTGAGATGCGCTCTAGAATCTCACAACTTCTTCCTGGTCTGTTGAAGCACCAATAGTCTGCATCCAATTATTTAATTAACTGCTCTTAGTTTTTGGGAATATATACAAACTATGCTGTAATTTCTGGATACCGATCTGTTTTTACTATAATTTAATTTGACAAACCGGGTCTTCTCTACATTCTTTTTTCTGTTTGGTGCGATTGCAATAGCGGGTCTTGATCTGGACGGACCGGAGGGGAGCAAAAAATAGCTCAGCTCCGTATTTTGACGGTGAAGGACGGAGAAGACGTACGTGGGCGGGTGACGAGCGGAGGATGTGGAACAGCTCTCATTGATTTACATGACAGACAAGTACTCCGTACGTGAGCGGGGCGGAGCGCTGACGGAGTATGTGGAATCTGGGGGTAAAGGAGGACAAATACACGTCCGGCTGGGTGCAGCGCCGGACGCCGGACAGTGCAATGAAAATCCGGACTGTCCGCCCTAAAGCCGGACATCTGGCCACCCTAGCGAGGAGAGGAGAATGACTTTACAGTGCAGATATGCTGGATAGAATTGCAGAGATTCACAGCTGAAATGTAATTCTTTTCTCTCCTCAATTATCCCTTTGCTTCACTCTTTTCTTGTCTGAAGTCTGACATTTTTAGTATTTACAGGTATTTTTAGTCATCTGAACCAAATCAAGTGTCACTGAACATATTTTTTAATACCTTTTTTCTTTTCAGTGTGTGCAACATTAGTACACAAACTGTCTTCAGGTCTTCTAGAGGTTAAGCTAAGAGTCTTTCTACAAACTGTCGCATGCTTCCAAAAAAATAGCACACATCTCGGCTCCTTGAAGACTTTGCTTTGACTTTCTTCACATTCAGGGCGAATGAAAAAAGCCACAGTATGACAGCTGTCCTTTCATGTCTGAAGGTATTTATCTCTCGATGTTGATGACAACCGTTCAGACACGTAGAGGTGGATGTTTTTTTGATGGCGTGATGTCTGAATTCAAAAATAAGAGTTGAGTATATGGTGTTTCAAAAACAGAGATGCAAACGTACTTCTTTTTATTTAACATTTTTAACCTGATTTTTTTGAAAATCTGATTCAGACATTTTTGTTTTTTTCAAGGGCTCAAAGATATTATATTTAGATGAAAAACAAGTTAAAAACTAATATATTCTGCAAAATATATTATATATGATAGATTATAGTAGGCTAATGAGAATGATATGAATCATGATTATTTTAGAAAGAACTCAGAATTTTTTTTTTGCTGACAGATTAGCATTTTTTTTAATCATTTCAGTTCAGCCCTCTTTAGTCCATACATTGATGTTCCTGCTGTGATTCTGGCCTGACTGATCACCAGTGTTTACATGTTTTATCTTCTCCTCACTGCCAAGCCGAGTGCTCATTCTTTCCACCTGTGCCAAAATCACCCACTCCCAATTAACTTTCCCTAATCCCAAACTGGCGCCTAAGCGCTAACCATGAGAACTAACCCTCCATTTACGCGTTTCTGCGGAGGGTCCGCCACATTAAGTGCCATCCGAAACCACATAGTGGGTAGGGCCAGTGGACCGTTCAGCCCTTAAATAGAGAGTCTGCATCAGTTGCAGACCTGCTGAAATCCGACAGCAGGTGTAACAGCGGCCTGGCGGCAGAAGAAACATGTTCCGCCAAATGTAAATTCTGCTGGTTTGCAGCATTTTCGTCACATTGACATAAAATAAAAAGTTAGTATATGAAAAAATTTTGACTAATTCCAAAATGGAAGGTCTTCTTTGAAATAGTTTTATTTGACATTTGTTTTAAGAAAGGGGCAAATGTTTAATGTTATGATAACTTGCTCCGCATAGCTACAGCCACGCACATAGGGCGTCACTCTGTTGCCGTAGCAACAACTGCTTTCCTTTTTCCGTTGGAGGGAAGAAGCCGTCCCATTCTCGTTTATATTACCCCCTCCTACAATTAACATGCCTTCAACTGCTGTGAGTGAGACTTCATTGGGAGTGACACTTGATAGTTAAGGGTTAGTTGTTAGGGACCAGTTGGGGATTGGGCCCTCGTCAGCTGACTTTATAAGCCTCCACCATTGATCCACTCAGTGCCAGATTTTTTGAAAAGTTTTGTGTCAGTATATTATCCAGTATGCTTTCCTTGCCTGCCTGTTCTGTTCCTGGGTGTCCCGCTCTCTCTTTGCCCTGACTGGATTCCCTTGAAGGCATATTCTGTACCATGACCCTGTTTCTGATCATGACTAGTCGCCCTAAGTTTCAGCCCTTTGGATGTGTTTGCCTGGATCAGCCTCCATGGTTGTGACCCATACTTCAGTTGATTTCGAGCTTTGTCCTTGGATCTGTTTGCCCATTCTGCCAGTAGCTTTTGCTTTACAGAGAGCCTTTCTCTCTCGCCTCCTCTTGACCTGCGGTGATGTTTCCACCAGATTTTTGAGGTTGGCGTTACCCCCCCCCCCCCCCCCCCCCCCCCCCCCCCCCCCCCCGAGCTGAAGGCTCGCTGTTATCTAGTAGATTTATCTATTATTGTTTTTTTTTTCTAAAATCTTTCATTCAACATTCATGTTTGTGTCCGTCTGATTTCTCAGGTCCACTGTCTATCTGGTCATTACAGTTCAAACCCTTAACACTTCTAAGGTAATCCTAAACTATATAAGTTTTAAATTTTAGATTTTGAAATACAGTAAAGACTCCTCAAAACCTTTTAAAGCAGCCCTTAGCTTTGTTTACAGGCAGATGGAGAGAAATGCATTATTTGCTTGTAATATTAATAGTAGGTAGACTGGACTGTCTGCACAACAACTTGCATATCTGAACAGATTTAATGGTGCAGAGCTCAGTTAATGTCTTTTCTGGGTTTTGAATTGATAATTTCAAAAAAGCTTAATTTGCCAAAAATGCACGTCCGGCTGGGATTCCAGGAGCAAAAACAATAAAAGGGAAAGATGTTGAGGCTTCTATTTCTGGGTCACTTGCAGCGCGTACTGACATAGAGCCTGTATGAGCAAATGTGTTTTTTAAAGCCAAGCTGTTTCAAACATGTTTCTTGCTCCAGAGGCTCTTGATTTCTTTGGCCCGCTGAGTGTGCCACCGTGCAGGCAGATGAGCTGATGGGGCCTTATTTGTGCTGACTCCAAGGCCAGGCCCTGTGTGTGCACCGACTGTGGTGAGTTTACCCTCCAGCATCCTGCAGTTCACCTACAGATGGCTCAAAATCAGCACCAGATTTCACCTCCACTGATATACAAACAAAGACGATGAATGTAAATAAACTGAAAACTGCGTCAAAATTTCAGCAAATATCAAACCAGTCGTGTCCTTGGTTGCTCAGGTTCTGCCCTTCAGAATAGTGGATATGATGCAGATTTAAGGTATTGACTTTCAGCTTTAAGGGTGCCTGAGGGCGTTTGCATCATTCATATTGTTGTCCATCTAGCTTCAGGGCACCAGAGCAAATGCCCTAAAACACAAAGTTTTACATCAAGACAATAAAAAGCTCTTGGAGTTTTGTCAGATTGTGTTCATGCTGTTGTGATGAGCTATGATCTGACTGAATGAGAAGGAAAGAAAAGTTAAAATTCTATATTCTTTACCACAGGCTAAGAAACACCAACTATAACTTATCTTCAGCTTTGAACTCTTCTAATCATATACTCTTTTTGAATATATATAGTCCACAATATCTTTTCCCTTCAACTTTTTTGTTATTTTAATGGAAAACATCCCTATAATATAACACTGCCATGACCATTTTGTTTTTATTTTATTATTTTTTTTGTGGAGAAGTGTTTTTTAGGGTGTTTTGCCAAAAATAACATTTTTGCAAGTAGGAGAAAAGAAATATTTTTGTCCACATCTGAGCAGAGCACCTTCTTTCATGTTTGCTTTGTTCCAAGATAGTTTTGCTTTCTAGTGTAATTATATTCATTTGATTTTTTTTTTTTGTTTAATTAGCTTTTAGGATTAATTTATTTTACTAATACTTAGATTTACATTATTTTCATAGTTATAGGACTAGTTGTAGATTGTATTCATACTTATGTTAGTTTTTAGGCACAGGATTCAAAAAGTTCAGAGCATTAAGAAACAAAGGCTATGTTCACACTGCATCCTGAAGTGACCCAACTCTAATTTTTTTGGCCCATATGCGTCCTATATCTGATCTTTTCATGGCTGTCGAAACAACACAGATCCGATTTTTTCCAATGCGACCCAGGCAACCTGGTTATGTGGTCCTAAATCTGATACGAATCTGATGTTTAAAAATGCAACCTGTGTCTGAACGGCCAGGTCGCATTCATCCGACCTGAACGTCATTAGTAACCAACAAAGGTCACTATTCTGGGTCTTGCTATGAAGAAGGCAAGAAAACAACCATGGTGGACAATGATGCGGAGGGCAGTATTTTTGTTTAACCATCTTGAAAAGATTGTGTTTTTATGGTTGGGGAAGATTGCTAGATGCGCGCCGGCACTAGGGTTGTCACAATTCTAAACTTTTCAACTCGATACCGATACTAAGGAAAATATTCGATACCCGATACCATTTTCGATACCACAAGAATAAAAACTCCAAATTTCAACATAAATTTTTTGATTAATAATCAAAATACAATAAATAAATACAATAAACAATACGAACAATATTTTGAGGTTGTTTGCTGTGCACAGTATTAAGCAAGCTTGAAAAAAAAAATGTAAATTAAGTTTTCCTTACTTGGATATGCTTTGCACACATAGCAATGACACTAGCCAAACCGGTTAAGAAACAAAAAGTGAAAAGTGCACAGAATTTTTCAATCCCACAGTTTTCAAAAAGTGCATTTTCCTCTATTCTGCACTTGAGATGGGTGACTGCTTAGGTGGCACTGGTGGTAGCACTGTATCGATACTTCTGAAAATGAGTATTGTATCCGGATACAACGTTTCAGTATCGATACTTTTTTTAATAATCGATACTTTTGACAACCCTAGCCGGCACCATGTTTACTTCCGTAAGCACAGAGCAGGCTGGCATGTGATGTCATTGCATCCTCTACTGCACATGTGGGACACTTGAGTTGTATGACTGCAGTTTACACAGGAGATCACATACAAGTTGCATATATTTGGAAATGTGAATGGCATTGTAGAAAAAATCGGATTTCACAAAAAAAATCGGAATTGAGCATCAAGGCCTGCAGTGTGAAAGTAGCCTATGTAATTCAACACAATATATCTTTTCCAAAAAGTGGTTCATTTGCACCTGATTTTGAGTCCTATGGGTGTGTGTGTGGAGGGAGGGAGGAACTAAACATTTCATATTAATTTGTGAGGCTTATCCAAAAAATTATACGAAAACACAAAGTTGTATCAACAATTTTTGTATACTGTATCTGTCAGTTTTATATAGTACAGTTTCAGTTATAGTTATAGTTTTTTTCCCTTCTAATTGAAGTTGCAATTGTCTTTTTTGTTTGTTTACTTAACCGATAACTCTGCAGTTCCCTGTATAACTTGCAGTTATTGGCAGTTTCCTTTTTGATTAATTTAAAATAACTAAATAAACTCCCCTTTCTTATGTAATGGCTAGACTTTGAGTCAAATGGTTATCCAATAATTAAATATTTGCTCAACTCCAGCATTTAGAAATATGCAGAACACATCCATCCATCCATCCATCCATCCATCCATCCATCCATCCATCCATCCATCCATCCATCCATCCATCCATCCATCCATCCATCCATCCATCCATCCATCCATCCATCCATCCATCCATACACACTCACATAGTCATAGCTAATTAGAGACACTGATTAAGATGCAGAGCACACAAACTACAAACTCTGAAAAACAAAAAATATTTAAAACATGTAAAGTTCATGTGAATATTGGAAAGCATGTCTTAATGGAGGTAATTTCAAACTATTTTTAAAAGAAGGGTTTAATTTGTTAAAGTATGCAATGAAAATGTAACTTATCCCTCGCTTTACTGATCAGGTTTTCCTCCATCCAAAAACAACAAACAAAAAACACAACATATGAGTAATTGCCTTAATTTTAAAAGAAGCTCTGCCAACCCTTTATCTGCCTCTGTGTCCGAGAAAGAGAAAAATTGCACTGTGCTGTTATACTGACACAAACACATGGATCATCCCCTCCCCATGCTCTCACTGCCTCCCAGCAGACTGACCAACACAGACGTTCTCATCATCCAGTTCGGCAGAGGCGTTGCGGAAGTATCCCAGTCTGCAGTGTTGGCAGTTCTGGCCTCTGGTGTTGTGCTTGCAGCTGACACAAGTGACGATGTTCAGGTAGTCGATGTAGCTGCAGCGGTTGGAGTGGCCATAGCACTCACAGTCTGAATGAAAAGAGACATTACAATTTAGTTCTCTAAAAGAAGAGGCTTATGTTTTGACCTTACTTTAAAGTGTAAATGATGGGAACAGGGAAGGAAATTTATTTCAGGTGACAGTAAGAAGTGTAAATTGATTTGTTCTAACAAATCTATCAGACAGGTTTAAACATCAGTTTAAAGAATAAATGGCTCTGTTTGCGTTTTATGGGGCAGCGCTCTCAGCTCTATATTGGGTCCATAAAGACAAACCACTCCCTCTCCATTAGTGCACTCACAGGTTTGCTGAGTCTGCTTTGGTGTGCTGCACTGATTACTGAAGGGAATTCCTTCATCCTCTGTGATTCTGAGGGCACGTATTTGTGTTCATGCATTTAATCTTGTGTAGGTTCAAGCATGTTAATTCTTCCTGGGAATTTAATTACATTACCAGATGACTCGATTATACGCTGCAAAATCATAAACAAGGGAATTGGAGGCGAGGAGGACAGTCAATGTTTCTGTAGCCAAAGCTGACACTGCGAAATCAGCCTCACATGATGAGTCCAGTTTGGAGAAGGGAAATAGATTGATCCAGATCTGTTTTTAGAGATTTACACAATAGAAATGAGATGCATTCAGGGCAGTTTTCCTTTCATAGTTTTTTCTCGTTAAAGTCAAACCCAGGGGTCTGTTGTGCATGAAATAACTTGCAATCAATTTTAGGAATATGAGAGCTCCAGTGGTAATTAAAGGTTGTGAATGCTAAAAATTGGTTTATTTATTACCTTAATTGGAATGTGGTGGAGTTAATATAATGTAGTTTAGATTTAACTCTAACTTTTTTTTTAATCCTGATCCAAGTATAATCACCGTTAGATCAGCAGATTGAAAATCTTCTTGCAAATTTCTGGAGTTAGGGTTAGGGGTACTAATAATATAATTTATTACATTATTTAGCTAAATCTTTCGCTGTTATTGGTGATATAACTGGCTGCTTTCTTGATTGGCAGCACAAACTTTAAGGCTTAGTTTACTTTTTCAATTAGAGTGTTTTTTGATGCAATACAAAAAATTAAGCCTAAATATCTTACTGGTAAATATGAATTTGAAATTAAGCTTGTTAAAAGGGAATCTTGCCACACACTTTTATCAGTGTAATTATTATAAGTGAGAGTTTTTGGACCTTTTTTTTTTTTTTTTATCAAAACACAAGTTCTTAACTTCCTTTCTGAAATCCATTATGAAAGCAGAGCCAAAGACATATTGTTGGTTTTCCATTTTTTTTGTATTGGATGTTTTGGATGACCATGCAAGCTGATCAAATTCATCAAAAGTAATTAGAAAAGCGCTTGAACCCTTCAATCTTTAACAGAATTGACAGAATCGTTCAGTAATGTAAAAAGTGACTTTGCTCCCAGTGCAAAGCTTGCTTAGCAGAGATATTTGCTGGAGGTGATGAGGTACAGAGAGGATGCTAGTTTTTTGTCCGAATAAATCCGATACAGGCTTAAATTCCATTGAATATAAAAATAAATATGATCTCTGACAGAAACAGCATAAAAAAAATAGATTTTATAAAACATTTACCATATTTATTTCAGACAAAATATTTTTTCTAGGAGCAGGAAATATTACCTCTACATCACTGTTTTTTCATGCCAGGAGTGAACACTTGGCTTATATATTTATATTTTGTCACAGACAAAAAAATATGTAAAAAAGCAGAGAAATATTTTATATAATCTTAATAGTGACTTAGTTTTAGAAGAATTTCTATCCAAAATAATAAATTAAAAAGACAAAAATGTTTTTCTTCATTTTCATATGGTTTTACCTTTTTCAGTTTTCTGTTATTGTTCATTGTATGTATGGGCTTTATTTTTATATCTGCATTTAAAGAACCTGTGAGCTGCATTTTAAATGTAATTGTAAACAGATATAAATGCAAAATCATATTTTATTCAGTTGTTGTATTTTTCTACATTTTAAAATAAATATTTTTTAAGTATTGGAAAGTAAAGGCCCAAAGAGTTTAATCTCCTTCTACATTAAAACTCTGATGGAAGTTTTATTTGATATGTAAGCAGCCTCTCTGATTTTTTTAATTTTTTTTAGCAAAACACAAAAAAGTAAATTTGCATAATGATTTAAAGAATTTCTCTTCAGAGACAGATTAATGTGCAGCAACAGAGGTCTCCATGTTGTGCAGAGGCGGTGCAGCCACCAGTGGAGCGATGCTGTCCCACATTCGCTCCGTGATTATCTTGGCTGGGGCTGCTCCCTAATTACGCTTTTATTAAGCTTTAGAAGTTGGCTGCAATAGTGTGCTGCAAGGCATCACTGTCCTCTAAAGAGGCGTTTACCGGGCATGTTTATGCAAATACACATTTAAATGCACATTAAAAAGTCGGAGTTTAGCTGTTTAATCAGCCGTCACATTATTATTTTATTATTGTTCGGCTGATGATGCCAGCTAAAATATTAATGAGCCGGAGAACCATAAAGTGCCTTTCTCAGCACTGAGGGAACCATGCAAGCAGTAGGGGAGACCAGCCTAATTAAATATAAATGGCCAATTACTTTGCAGACTGGAAAGGCAATGGGACATTCTTCCTCAAATTAGCACAATGAGTCAAGATGCTGGTTTATTGGTATTTATCAGTTGTAGATGGTTAACAGTGAAATGTTATTTAGGGAAAGGACGGAGGACTAAGCTGACAAAACAATAATTGGATTTTTTTTTCCTAACAAGCATCCTTTTCAGAGGAAAAAAAGAAATGTAAACAGCAGTTAGATGTTTGAACAGGAATATTGACAAAAAGTGTTGCGTCTTACCTTAATCAAGGACATAAAGTGAACACAACCATGAGAGGGGAGAAGACAGAGTGAAAATAATGCATAAATGGAACATGAAGGAATTTTTCCACACACTTTATACTTTAGAGGATCCAGAGGGTGTATAAAGCCTAATCGACCTGTGCAGCTCTTCAGACCTCATGCTAAAATTATTGGTCTCTTACCTTTAAAATTGTCGTAAATGATCCCCAGTAACTGTTCGACCTGGGGCTCTCCTGAGATCAAAAGTTTCAGAAGTCCTTTGGGGAATGAAGGAATCTGTATTTAACATTCATGTTATTCAGTGTGCTATAGTCTTTTATAGCACTTTACATTCTCACAGCTGGAGTCTGTACAGCCTGGAGGGCTGTGTTAGAATGACACAGGAGTCTAAACAGGAATATAATTGATGTTTGGTGTTTGGGTTCGAAACTAGTTTACCAGATGAAATGGAAGTTTACCTTTAAAGCTGACAAATTATAACTATACAGTGATCTCGACTGGTTAGATATACAAAGCTGGAAAGGATTTATATTAAGTAAATATCTAGTCCTGCCCTCTATATTATAATGAGTAGGATTTGATTGATTTGGCTGAAAAGACAGAAGGTTGTCAAACTCCCAGGAACAGAACAGTTTTTTTATTTTTCAAACTTAAACTTCCATTACACTTAACAGGATACTCAACTTTAAATAAATAAAGCATAAATACTGAAGCATATCTAGTTTGATCCTGAGGAGCTGAAAGGTTTTATAGCCATGGATTTCTTCAGTCAGAAGTTTACATACACAAAAATTAGTGTTCACTTCAACAAGCTGGTAAGGCACAGACAAATAGTTTCTTTTTGGGTGGTGGGGAGGGGGGGGGGGGTGTCTAAAAACCTACAATTTATATGAAATACTAGAGAAATTCTATCCTTAAATGCTGTGGTGATCATTAACTATGGGGATGGGGTGGGAGGGGTGGGGGTGGAATCAGTTAAAAACATTACGATATACCAGCAAAGATTGAAAGATAAGAAACTATAATCTAAGTGGCACAAATAGTTGCAAAATTAAAAAAAAAATAATCCTATGTGTAATAAACCACTGTGTGAGTGTATTAGTATGAGATTCTACCTTTCTTTTTCCCTTTTCCTTTTTCCTCGTCACCCTCTTTCCAGGCACCGTGTCTTGTGGTTCCATGACCACTTCTTCCTCTCTCAGGGTTTTCAAAGAAACTGTGCTCTAAAAAAGAGCCCCAACTCAAAAATCTATTTATATTTTCTCAATATTGATTAAATTCTACTGTTTTACCAAGCGACATACTCTAAAAAGTATTTGGCCACTTACACATTTCTACATTTTCTTGCTTTTTGACATAGTCATGAACTCTACAAACCAGAGTAAACACCAAAAGCAGTTTTCAAAGCTATCCAAACCAACAATGTTTCTATATATAAAATATAATTATTCCACTTGTTGTAAATCATAACTGCTATTGGGCAAACCCATTATTATTGCCTTTCCTGCAGAAAACCCAAATTCCTTAAACAAAACGTGTTTGTCATAAGCTGAATAAAAGTTTGTGTGAAATTTTTCATGCTCTGATATAGAGTAATCCAATGATATATGTAAAAATAAAGTCACTGAGATCCATCAGCCTGAAAGAGGTTGCAAAACTATTCTGTCTTTGTTCTGCAAGCAAACCACAATAAGAACCATTATTTATAAAGAGAGATATTTATGGGGCAATGGATCCTCTAAAGAAGTCAACATTACTCCAAAAGAAGCCATAACTTATCCAGCAGGCCAATAAGAAAACCGAAAAAAAATAAAATAAAATTAAGCACTGCAGATCTCCCTTTCTTTTGCAGAAGTTAGTGTTGATGATTTAACAATAAGAAACTGAGCAAATATGGCATCCACGGGAGAGTTTAAAGGCCAGAACCACTGCAAAAAACAACATTGCATCTCAGGACTTTCGGAACTTATGGGTCGAAGATGAAACTTTAGGAAGAAGTGTGCTGTTCCATCTGTTGGAATGCTACTACAGGATTTCTTGAAGAAATATTTGTAATGTTAACACAAGATAATGTTGCTGTTCCCTCCGCCTTTCACTTGTCTGCCTGGAAGACAAGTGGAGAAGCAGCTGGAGAGACTGAATCATAATAAGTCACCAGGTTCTGTTTGTATCAGCCCGAGTATGGCAAGCCATTTATCATAAAATCAGCTTTACCACATTTACATTAGAGAAATCTTTCATTGGTTTTTGACTAGACATAGTAGTTCATTAAGATATCTGTATTTATATTTAGAGTAGGCAAAATACAAATTTCAGATATTCTAATTCAATTCTGACTAGACTGAATGACGTCAGATTTACCATTAATTTGTAAAGGCTCTTCAGTTTAAGGTATCTTCAAAACATTGCTGACGATCTGAAAGGTATATTTCAGATTTCAACAATTGAATTATGACTAGTCATAAATTAAATTTGAGATATCTCGTTTTTGTTCTGACTAGTCATAAATCAAATTAAAGATATCTCAAATTACCTTGTTATTCAAGGTATCCTGAATGTATTTAAAGAGACAGTATGAGAAAGAATTTCCTGCAAGTCCGCACCCATTTGAGAACGAGCTGCAGCACTAAAAGTTGTGTTAAAAACCGGAGACCAAGCACTTTGTGTTTGGTCAGGCAATTGACGAATGATCTGAAAGACACTGATGATCTGAAAGTCCTCCTTTGAATGGCTTAAAACAAAAAGAAATCTGGTAAGCCCCAATGTGGCATAAGCTTAAATAGATTAATTAAGTACAGAATAATGCAAATACCATTAAATTAAAACATAGCTGTAGTGAGCTACAGCTTTGTAAAGTAAAAGACTCATTGGCAGTTATCACAATCAGCTGATTGCACCTATTGCCACCAAAGCAGGGGCAAGTAGTGAACGTACCATACTTTCCTACATCATAGAGTAGGCAAAATACAAATTTCAGATATTCTAATTCAATTCTGACTAGACTGAATGACGTCAGATTTACCATTAATTTGTAAAGGCTCTTCAGTTTAAGGTATCTTCAAAACATTGCTGACGATCTGAAAGGTATATTTCAGATTTCAACAATTGAATTATGACTAGTCATAAATTAAATTTGAGATATCTCGTTTTTGTTCTGACTAGTCATAAATCAAATTAAAGATATCTCAAATTACCTTGTTATTCAAGGTATCCTGAATGTATTTAAAGAGACAGTATGAGAAAGAATTTCCTGCAAGTCCGCACCCATTTGAGAACGAGCTGCAGCACTAAAAGTTGTGTTAAAAACCGGAGACCAAGCACTTTGTGTTTGGTCAGGCAATTGACGAATGATCTGAAAGACACTGATGATCTGAAAGTCCTCCTTTGAATGGCTTAAAACAAAAAGAAATCTGGTAAGCCCCAATGTGGCATAAGCTTAAATAGATTAATTAAGTACAGAATAATGCAAATACCATTAAATTAAAACATAGCTGTAGTGAGCTACAGCTTTGTAAAGTAAAAGACTCATTGGCAGTTATCACAATCAGCTGATTGCACCTATTGCCACCAAAGCAGGGGCAAGTAGTGAACGTACCATACTTTCCTACATCAGGGCAAGGTGGTTTAGATAGCTTTCACTGCTGATTCACCAAAAAAAGATTTAAATATAGCATTTTGGATTTACTCAAATTTTCTCAGTTTGAAGACCTGAAGCATTTAAGAAATCTGCAAATGGGCCAAAACTTTTCAAGGCACTCTAGTACAAACACCACTACAAAGCCAGCATCATTCACAGATTGTGAGTAAAAACTGCCAATACACTTTCCAAAATATATAGGCCAAACTCACAATAAAGTTGGTGATTTTCTAATTGGGCATGAAGGCAGTGTGAAGAAAATATGAGTGCATGACATTAACAAATGTTTACAAGACTCTGTTTAGAGTAAAGCTGCAATTTCCTCTTTTCCCCTTTTTTACAAACTCACCTTCAACATCACTAAAGATCTTTCAAAAAATGAGATGCACTAATACTACAAGATCAAGATTTAGCACTACAGCTCATATAGACTGGCAGATAATTATTTAGTTGAATGGATATGTTTGGATGCATTTTCCAATCTTACTGTGAGCTGCCAAGCCTAATTTGCTGTAAATGTTTATCTACTCTGCTTTTTCTACGTCGCAGGCAGTTTAGTGTTTATAGCTATTTTAAATCTACAAGCGTCTTACAATGATGGCATAAAAAAACGAAGTACCTTCATTTCCAGCCTTACTATGGCTGTGGGTATCCCCCCCATCCTCCCCGTGCCCTAATGAGATGGCTGACTGGTGTCCATGAGTGCTGTGAGTGTGTTCCTCAAAAACATGAGAGACTGAGAAGCCAGCATTGACAGCAAAATGAATAAAAAAAATTTCATTTATAAGTAGGTCACTTTTGCAGCCTGTAAAAACAGATACCTGTCCTCTTGCTTTCTCCATTAACTCCACTTTTCAGGTTATGTTCTGATGAAGTTATTGATTTGTGGCCATGTTCTTCAGACTTATGAGGAGCTGGGACTTTACAAGCAAGAACAAAATTGTATGACTAACTAATGATAAATGACTATGTACTCTCTATATGGTGAATGCATATTCAGTATTAAACAAGTGTTACCTTGGGTATGCCTCTCCACTCCATGCTCTGATCTGTGCCCATGACTCCCATGTACATGAGACCTGGTAGGGTCTGAAACAAACACTCTCTCTGAGATCTTAGATAAATCAATACTTGTTTTGTGAAATGTAGTTTTTTTTTAGATAGATTTTCATTTTAACATTTTTGTTTGGTATTTTAAGTTTTTTAACTAATTTGTGTCATTTTTTTTTTTTCAACCCAAACTTTTCTGATTCTAATTCAGAGCTGGGTAGAAACCAGTTACAGTCACTCAGTTGCATTTTCTAAACTAACTTAATGAGGGCAATCTTATTTTTAGAGGTAATTTCACTGCACTCCACAGTACTTTTACTTGAGTGAAGATAGGATAAAGTAGTGCAGCTCTTACTTAAGTAAAAGGTAAAGTTACTCTTTACATTTGTAATAACTTTCCTCAAGGAAGAACAGGATGCCTTAAACAAAAATGCACCAGAGAAAAACAGAAACCTCCAGTTTAGGATTGAGACTAATTTTCTGTACCTTAGCTTCATTATTTTCTTCAATGTTATTTTCTATATGTTGATCCTGCTTAGTCATTTGAAGGTTAAGTTAACATGCAGTAAACGCTATGCTATAGGTGTCTACTGGAAGTTAATAAAAGTCACAAAATAAAAAAAAAATTCTTTTGAAGTTTTCTTTGACCCGAAATTGCTAACGTGTAATTGTGTTATATATGATTTTATATTTTAAAACTAAAATTTGTATACAACTATATTTAGTCAAACTTTACATAATTTTTAAAAAGGTTAAATCAGATGTTAACATCAGCTACTTTGTACTTGAGTTGTCCTTTTACCACATTTTTATTAAGAATTTCAATAAATGATTCTTAAGCCATTTATTGGAAGCCTACTTTTTACTTAAACTTGAGTAAAAGTATAAAGAAATACTGCTACTCCTTCTTGATTATAATTTTATTCAGATTGTGTAGATCAGAAAGTAAAACAGTGACTGTGTCCGGATGTCTGCCTTAATCACTATATAGTGCACTATATAGTAGTTGCACTATATGAAATGAGTGTCTGAACATCTAGGGGATGAAAAAGTAGTGGACTCCAAATTTCCCCCAATGCACCTTGAAAAGTAGTGATCGTCCATGGTCACTAGACGAGCAGATATATCCCATGATGCTTTGCCAGGAGAGCTCTCCTGGCAAAGCATCATAGGGTTCGTTGTCACAGCGGTGCTCTGTTGCCATAGGGTGCCGCTACCCGACAGCGGCAACAAATAAAAAGATGACAGGCACCGTTCGGGGAGGCGGAGTCACATGATCAAAAAGGAGCAAAAAGTAGTGATCGTTTGTCTGAACGGTAAGTTAACTGATTTAACTATATCCGCTATATACTACCCGCTCAATATAGTGATTGAAGGATTTAGGGGTTAGGGTGGACGTTCGGACACAGCCAGTGGCTTTCCTCTTATACATGGCAATATGGTAACTTCTGATAGCAGTTGTTTGTACAGAATTTTATTTTAGATTTCATTATGAAAGCCAGATTTACTAGCTAAACATTTCATAAATGGCACAAAGCATTGGCCTATCACATTTAAATAAGCCCGCCCAAACCAATAAAATTTTGGGGGATGAATTTAGCAAATCTTAAAAACTTCTCTGTGTCTGGAACCTTTACCAATGAGCTGTGTCAAACAGATATACCTGTCCTTTCAGTATTTCTGGGTGCGTGCGCCTCTGCTCCATGCCCATGTGAGGCTGTTGATCGGTGAGCATGACTTTCATGTCCATGGGAGTTACCAGGCTCTGAAATTATCATTTTTTTAAAGCTTTTTAAGATTCTTGCCATCGATTCAGTATTTTATTTTATTCATTTTCTAAATGAATGGTTCCGCAGCAGCTCAGCTTTGACTAAATCTAACTAAGATACCTTTCACTTCAACTTTTCTGTGTGAATGCCCCTCCTCTCCGTGGCCATGTGAGGCTGCTGAATTGTGACCATGATTTTCATGTGCATGTCCATGAGACTCCACAGGATCTGAAATAACCATGGTCAACAAAGTTACTTGTCATACTACTGCTCTTCTTTTCTTCTATCTTTAATTTTCAGGGCGGTCAGGGCTGTAGATCTAGCATTTTTTTAGTTTTGAATAGGTATACCTGTCCTTTCAGCTTTATGGTGTGAATGTTCTGCATTTCCGTACGCTTGTGAAGATGGAGATTTGTGACCATGATGTAGATGAGAGTGAGACATATGAGCATCTGAAATAACAGGTAAATCATACAGCATAAGCTAATTGTATCCTCTAACTCTGAAGGGGACATTTTGTCAATCTATATATACTTTTAAAGGGGGCATCTCATGCTCCTTCCTTTTCCCTTTTAAATCATTCAGTTGTGGTCTACATAAAATGGAAGTGGATTGCTTGGTCTGAATTCCTTGTTATTGTTGCTCTTTGGGAGGTACGTCTGAGAGCAAGTCGTTTAGGTGCAGTCCCTTTAAAAGCATAAAAGGCCACTTCACACCCCATCCCCCTGCAGGTACAGAGTGTTCCACTCAACCCCATGCAGCCATTTTTCTAAATTCAACTTTTCTGTACCCATTGAGACTTCAGCTGAAATAAAAAAAAATCTATTTTACACTGTATTTTCCATTTTCTGTAAAAACTCTAATATTGTAGCTATACTGTGTATCTAAAGGTTTACCTGTGCTTTCAACTTTTCTGACTGTATGCTTTGTCTCTCCGTGTCCATGTGAGGTAGTTGATTTGTGACCATGATGTAAATTATTTTGAGAATCATGAGCATCTGTTGAACAATTGTAGAATAATAAGTAAATAATAGCAACTCTTTGGAGCTTTTAACTCTTTAAAGGTTGCATTTTGTTAATTTATGCAATCCTAAAATTATTGACATTTTTTAAAGATCTTTTAGCTAAATGTTTACCTGTGCTTTCATCTTTTTTGACTGTGTGCTCCGTTTCTCCGTGTCCATGTGAGGTAGTTGGTCCGTGGCCATGATGTACTTGATTATGAGACACATGAGCATCTGAAATATTAATTGTTAAAGTAACGTAAATGATGGCAACACTTCGGAGCTTTCGCTTTAAGGGATGTAAGTCTTTAATCTGTGTAATCTTAATTTTGAAAGCTTTCTAACAACTTCTAACTGAGTGTTTACCTGTGCTTTCATCTTTCCTGACTGTATGCTCCGTTTCTCTGTGTCCATGTGAGGCAGTTGATGTATGACCATGATGTACTTGATTATGAGACACATGAGCGTCTGAAATATTAATTGTCAAAAAAAACAACAACTAAATGATGGCAACTCTTCAGATGTTTCAACTCCTTAAGGGATGTATGTTTTTAATCTGTGTAATCTTAATTTTTAAAGGTTTCTAAGAACTTCTAACTGAATGTTTACCTGTGCTTTCATCTTTCCTGACTGTGTGCTCCATTTCTCCATGTCCATGTGAGGTAGTTGATGTATGACCATGATGTACTTGATTATGAGACACATGAGCGTCTGAAATATTAATTGTCAATAAAGTAAGGTAAATGATGGCAACTCTTCAAAGGTTTCCTTAAGGGATGTATGTTTGTAATCTTTTTGAAAGGTTTTTAAGAACTTCTAACTGAATGTTTACCTGTGCTTTCATCTTTCCTGACTGTGTGCTCCATTCCTCCATGTCCATGTGAGGTAGTTGATGTATGACCATGATGTGCTTGATTATGAGACACATGAGCATCTGAAATATCAATTGTTAATAAAATAACAGATAATGAGAGCAAACTTTTGGAACTTTTAACTCCTTAGGGTAATAATCTAGGAAGGTTTCTAAAAACATCTAACTGAATGTTGTACCTGTGTTTTCAACTTTCCTGACTGTATGCTCCATTCCTCCATGTCCATGTGAGGTAGTTGATTCGTGGCCATGATGTACTTGATTATGAGACACATCTGAAATATTAATTGTCAATAAAGTAAGGTAAATGATGGCAACTCTTCAAAGGTTTCAACTCCTTATCTGAATTTGTGTAATCTTAATTTTGAAAGGTTTCATAGAACATCTAACTGGATGTTTACCTGTGTTTTCAACCTTCCTGACTGTATGCTCCGTTTCTCCGTGTCCATGTGGTGTAGTTGATGTGTGACCATGATGTACTTTGGTCTCAGACTCTTGAGGATCTGAAGTATATATATATTTATATATACATTTCCTTTTAGCTTACACGTAAAGGCTCACTCTCTGTGCATTTCGTTTTCTTAAATTGTTTCAGTAAATTAATATATTTAACTAAGAGTTTTGGACTAATACCTAGTTGTTTAGAAACATATACCTGTCATCTCAGTGTTTGTGTTTTTATGTCCCTCTTCTCCGTGTCCATGTGGGGTTACTGATTCGTGACCATGAGAAGCATGTACATGTCCGCTAGAATGATGGGGATCTGAGATAAAATGTTTGCCGTTAAGGATACAAGCAAAGTTTTCTGCTTCTCAAAAGTTTTCAGTTGCTCATTTTGTACATTTTCTTTTTAAAAGATATAAAACATGCTTATTTCTAGAGTTTTTATTTTTATAAATTCTAAGTATCTTGAAAAATCCCTCTCAGCTTTTTCGGATTTTGTTACAAGCACAACCTTCAGTTAAAATTTCAAGATTTTGTTTTTGGGATCTTCACAAAGTAGCAGACAAATGTTAAGTTAAAGGAAAAGAATGGATGATTGACCGTTTTACCTGACAGGAGGGGCAAGGAGTGGGATAGCAGGTCTACAGCTAAGGTGGACTTAGGGAACTACCATAAGCACAGTGAAATACGGCTGCACCACTGTTTTGCTGCTGGGTTGCATTTCTACATCCCTGCTGTGCAAGCAGAGACCGTGAAGCTTCACAGAGCTGATGGAAAGATGAATGCTGTGTAATAATGGGTAAATCCTAGATGGAACCCTATTAGATTCTTCATAAAACCTGAGAGGAGTTGGAGCTTCCCGAACAGGACAGCAGCTCTAAATATAGTTAGATCTATGATGTTTCTGTGTTACAATTTAGAAAAGAATCTTTGCCAATTCTTAGAAAATTTGTTTATATATGTACTTTAATCTGACTAAGAATATACTTTTTGCAAAGAAAATTAAGCTAATATTTCAATCTCTATGTATAAAGCTGATAAAGACATGGGCTGAAACACTTTAAGTTTTAGCTGCTTCGAAAAGCATTCTACAAACTTGAGTTAGGAATTCTATATTGTAAACAAGAGGCTTCATTCTTCAAATTCATATTTTTATTTAAAAATGTGCTTCAACTCAAATAAGATTTGTGGTTCTGACATAACAAAATGTGACAAAGATGCAGAAATGTTCTCTCCATTGGAAACTACCATGATTCTGACCTCACATCACTGCTATAATTACATCCATACTATATACCTGTCCTTTCTACTTTATTGTGTCCATGCCTCTCCTCCCCATGTCCATGTGAGGCTGTTGTTTTGTGCCCTTGTCCGTGGCCCTCATGCATCTGGGAGACTGATGCAATAATGTTCATTAATATAAGGGGCAAACATTCACATCCACCTATGCTGTTTCTAGTAGACATGCACAGTAATATAAAAAGACCACTACAACCAACACAGATTAAATAGGTACCTGTCTTCTGGGTGTTACTATGCCCTCCCTCATCTGTTTCATGCTCAGACAAAGTTGCAGCTTTATGGCCATGAGCTTCATGAGCATGTCCATCAGATGTGTGGGAGACTGAAACAGCTTAACGAATATAACCAGAATTTGAAAGACTAGTTATTATATTTTTTTGCAACACAAATTAGCAAACAATGTTATGCTCGGAATAGTATAGGTGATTTACCTTTTCTCTCCTCAACATGATGGGATGATGTTTGACTTGGAATTACATGTGTGCGGTCCACAGATGTGTGCTGGTCTGGCACAACAAGGTTGTTGTTAATACAAAAAAAAAGATTGTTTTACCTTCATATATTTTTACAATGTGCAACTGGTGGGCAAATCTATCAAATCCTTGAAAGACAAGCATTTTTTCTCTGTTATCTTTCAGGGACTCATTTTTTAAGAATGAATATTTACTTTTCTTTTGGACTTCATAACTTCTGAGAAACTGAAAAATATTTAACTACATAATACTTCGATACTCTGCAGTAAAGATCATAACCTTGGAAATCAATACAGTTAAAAAATTAAAACCATTTATTGGTATTTTAAAATATATATAAATTCTTGTCTTGCTTTGAAAGCAATATAGCATGGTTGTTCATCCCTAATGCAATTAAAAAATGAAGGCATGCATTTGGTCTCCAAGTACAGGATTCCTGTTTTTAATCGAGCATTTTCATTAGAAATCTGAATTTACTTAAAGGTGAAAATTCTAGGTAAAATGTATTTATCTTTATCTTTTAACTTTATTTGTATTTTTTTTAATGGTAAGTTTACCTATAAAATCCAAGGACCTGTTTTCAATAAGACATGGCTACACAACTTTGTTATCATTGGCTAAACACAGCAAGACAAATAGTTATCTGTTTCTTGTTCTTATTGCTCAACAACAAAATAACTACAATCTTCTTCAGACTACTTTCTTCACTTCTGAAAAAATCTGTATTCAGTTGATGATTAAATGGTAGTAATACACAATTTGAGGATAACTTAATAAAATAAGAAGATTTAATACATACAGTACAACATGAAGATCCTGACCCATGTGGCAAAAAGCTTTAACACTGCCCCAATAAAGCAACGCATTAAGAGGAGTTTTCAACCAATAAAATTCATGGAAATAACTTTGTTTTATTGACTGTATTTTCTGTTTTCTTTATTTTTCCCACCACCAACTAATATATTTTGTATTGTGCAGATGTCAGCGAGGAAAGACTTCCATTAACATTATCTATTTATTGCTGTAGAGTAATGTCCCAGAATTGGCTATTTTTTAACTATTGCATTTGAGCAAAAAGAAAACCCTAAGAAAGGCATGGAAAAAGAAGATTTATAAGATGAGAATAAAAAAAAAAGATCTCACAAACTAAAAATCTCACAGGTCATTTCATCAGGAATAAAAACTCCATCTTATAAAACATTCATTTTGCACCACATGCATTTAAAGTCTTCCATACAGAGTTATCCTACCCACTCTCTACAGTCTCTGCATCACTACACCTAAAAGCAGTACCTTTCCTTTCAGCTTGTCTTTCTATGTGCTCCTCAGACCCATGATGTGATGATGTCTGATGGTTATGAGTCCCATGTGCATGCTCCTCAGATGTGTGGTGGCCTAACACATCACATGTTTTTATTATTATTCTAACATCATCCAAAACAACATTGTTTGCCTTTTAATTTAATTATTTTCTTGTTTACTTCTTAGAGACAAAACTAATATAACTGGGCAATTATGGGTATTTTATGATGATAAAGAAAGATTGCAATCACTGGGTAAATATAAAAAACTAGAGCGGAGATGAGAAAAAGGCAACTATAGGGATAAGCCAGTTTATGTTGGGAAACTCTTCAAACTATTCTACATCTGGATCTACCACGCCTACAGAAAGCTAAATCAAGGTTCTTTTTTATTAAATTCACCTCACCTTGTTCAGAGGAAGCTTTGTGGCCATGAGTTCCATGAAGCTGTTGCTCAGGCATATGGGACACTGATAAACATAGCAACATACAGCATTTATACCAAGAAAAAAAAACACCTTTTATTCCTGCACTGCAAAAACTGAAAACTCAATATGTAATATTTTCTTAAAATAAGGTTGTTGTTTTTTTTAAATTAATGAGGTAAGAGAGACACTTCACCAAAGGAACAAGCCAATTTAGATTTAAAAGAAGAAAGAACATTTGCACTGTCTATTTCAGGTGCATATTATCTAATTGTCTGTTTTAAGAGTAAATATACTCATTCCATTGGCAAGTCATCTTATTTACCTACTCAAATTGAGGTTTAATACACTTAATTTAACAATTTTTTAAAACCTATTTCTAGATTGTTTTTGCAGTTTGCCATGATATACCACAGGAGTAACTTCCATATTACTTAAGTTATGCAAATGTAGTTTGTTATTGATTTCCTACTGAAAGATAAAAAGGCAAACGTGCAGCTTTAACCCTTAAACTTACAACTGTACGCTAAATTAATACCTTTAATTTCAGCTGTCCTGTCTGGAGGTTCCTCGTGTCCGTGACCATCTGCTTTAATGTGTCCATGAGTTGCCTGCCTATGCACGTCTGACATGAATGGGCATGAATGTAAAGGAAAAAAAAGCAAAATAAATCGCTTTGTATATTTCTTGAGGAAATGTGATTCATCCTCAGACCCAGTTTCCACGGTGCTTAAGAGAATTTATGTTCATGTTTATATCATTTGAGAAAAGAAAATTGAAATCCTAATAACTTTTAGCTTTAACGAAGTAAGAAGAAACCTGTCCTGCTTGTATCATCCTGTTTATTCACCCCCCCCACCCCCACCCCCCCACTAAAAAGATCTTGTGAGATAATTTTAGAAACGTTCTGCTTCCTTTGTTTTTCCTAAAGCTGACTGATTGACAAAAAATGTATATTTCAAGTATAAAATATATACTATATTTTTGTTACAGCTGGTAAGATACCTTGCATCTTTGCATTTTTTCCAGTCTCCTTTGCTCCATGTACAGATGGTGTTGCTTCATGGCCATGAGCCTGATGTACATTTTCTCCATAATTACTGTGAGCTGAAACATCACAGTTTTCATTACTATAAAAGCCAGACATTTGTTGAAATTTACTCACCTGCTTCTAACTTTAACATTTTCTGCTATTCCACTATAGCATATGCTCTAAAGGCATGTGTCTATCACACAATTTCTTTTGGGGAACTGGGGATCTTAGCTACAGTTACCAGACAGGAAAGCGGGTTAAGAGGGATGCCTTGAAGCAATGGTCCTCAGGTTGGAAGTCAAACCTCCCAACAACCATGTGCAGGACTAACAGCTTCACAATAGGGAATAATAAGCTCTGCTAAGCTCTACAGCTACACCATACTCCACCTGCTACTGAGCATTTTTATAGCAAAGAAAACATGAAAATAAATAATTTACTATTTCAGCACTGTCAGTTTCTAAATGTTATTCTATAGGATGCCTGATGCAATCTACAGCTACTATTTCAGACATGGCAAAATATTAAGGGGCGTCAGAGCAATAAAAAAGTTGGCAGTGCTATGCATCAGCCTGATAACAGTATCACCTCATCTATGCTAAACCTTTTTCCTAATGAACACTCACTCATCTCAGCATGCTGAATGCTTGAAGTCTCTGATATGGCATGGGGACATTTTAACTGTAATTATGCAAAAAAAAACTGGTCCACCTGGGTGTGCCTATAGGCTCTGTATGGTAGACTAACCTTTAGCCCAAGGTTTAGGTAGTTATGTATGCAGAGGGAAAAATAAAACCTAACTTCAGTTGGTAGCTTATTATGGTAGTCATACACACTGTAAATTGTAAAGCCTTCATCCAAGTTCCCACTGAACTTCTAAGTTTGGCCTACATAAAAAAATTATAAAGCCACTAAATAAATAGGAAACTGATTATTTTCCACTTTAAAATCATGTATTAGTAATTTCAACAGGCAGAGCAAGATAAACAGTGTGGGAGCTGCTTTGAACTAGGGTAAAATCTAAAAGCAGAAATATACCTTCTATTTCTCCATGGCTCTGCTTATGGCTTTTCTCCCTGTGTGGCTGGGATAAGGTGGTTGTTTTGTGGTCATGTGGTTGATATTCAAGTCCATCGAACATGTGGGAAACTGTCATATCACAGTTGCCGTTGTCATAAGCAAAGCCAGGAAGAACTAAGATGCATCCCTGTCTTTTTTCTGCCAGGGGGTCATTTGCTGCTGTTAGATGTCAAGTTCAACTGTTGTTCATTTCCTTCAACCTATCTCAACTTCTACTGTAGAGTTTATGTACCAAGGGAGTACTACAATGCTTCTGCATTAAATACCTGTTTCAGTCTTTGTGTTTGTTCCCTCTTGGTGTTCAGGTGAAGGTGGTCTGTGACCATGTATTACAGGCCCGTGTCCCTCTGATTTATTGGAAAACAATCAGAAATAGATTGGTATTGACACAGGGAGAAAAAAAAATTTGAGCAAACTAAATCTTAACAGTTCAAGGTACCTGTTTCTTCCTTTTTTTCATTCCCCTCTTTGTGTTCAGATAAAGGTGTTCTGTGACCATGTATCTCATGTCCCTCTGATTCATTGGAAAAAATCACAACATGATTGACATTGACAGAAGGAGGGAAAAAAAACTAAACTTCAAAACCTATTTTCATAAAAATCAATAGGTTTTCAGTTTTTTAAGAGTTGGCCATGTTACCTGTTTGAGTGTTTGTGCTTTTTTCCTCCACATGTTCAGGTAAAGTTATTCTACGCCCATGTGTCTCATGACCGTGTCCCTCTGATTTGTTAGAAACAATGAAAACATTTAATATTGTCAAAAGGAGACAATAACTATGAATATAAACTTCAAACTTTTAATACACTGTGGCCTCTTTAAGGTTGGCCTTGGTACCTGTTTGAGTCTTTGTGTTTTTTTCTTCTTCACTTTCAGGCAAAGCTGTTCTCTGACCATGTGTCTCATGTCCATGACCCTCTAATTAAAAAAATCAAAAAAATCAATACATAGCTTTATTATTTTATTCTTTTCTGTTACCATGTGTCTCATGTGCATGTCCCACTAATTCATTAGAAACAATCAAAATTCTATTGGTATTTGCGAAAAAAAAGCAAAATTTTAACTTTCAGTAACTGCTCATGCTTTAAGTTATTTAAAATTCGCCATGGTACCTGTTTGAGTCTTTGTTTTTTTCCCCTCTTCATGTTCAGGGAAAGTCGTTTTGTGACCATGTGTCTCATGTCCAAGTCTTTCTAATTTGTGGGGGACAAAATAATCAAGACACAACTGTCATTGTCCAAAGAAGACAAGGAAATTTTAGATTTTAAAATGTAGTAAAGCTTTGCTACTGCGCTCATATTGGAGTCAGGTTGCAGGACAACAACGCTCGAGGACTGGAGTTTAACTGATTGAAAACAACCAAAATATGTTCGGTACTCACAGAAGAAGAAAATACTCTGATACTAAACTTGACCAGCACTTTTAGCATATTTCTATATTTACAAATTAAACAAAAAAATGGCAATGTTTTTCTTAAGCCACAGTTTGGTAAGTTTATTAGATTTTTTTAACCTAATTTTACTGGTAATTAACAAACAACTGACCATACAGTGCTGTGAAAAACTTTTCATTTTTTTCTCACACTGGAATATTTCAAATATTTTAAAAGTTGTTGCTTACAAAGTGAAACCCAGCTAGTTTTGGAGAGCATTTTTTTTTTACTTGTGGAAGAATCAGTGAATGGATGAATTAATAACATACTTTAACATCAGACAATAATATTTTGATAATCTGGAAAATCTAAGTGTGAGAAAAGTAAGAAAAAAACCTGAAAATAATGAGTAAGGAGGTAAATATTTTTCTCAGCTCTGACTCTATCTGACTACACTAGAAGAAAAATACACTTTTCTTTTCCAGATCACTCTCTGTACCCATATCTGGTGTATGCTTGTTATTCTATCCAACCATTTACCACTCTAGGATAAACTACAACTGTTTCACCGAAGGACTGTTGTTTCAAAGGAGCATCTTTTTCCCTCACAAGGCTATTCTTAGAACAATGACTGGTCAGTACATCTAAAAAGAGTTGCTGTTACCTGTCTTGTGGTCGTTTATCTTTGTGTGCTGCTCCTCACCATGACCAGATGAGACAGGTGACCTGGGAACCTCAGATACATGCCCTTCTGACATATAGGAAACTGACAAACCACCGTTTTTAGCAAATTATTTGCAAAATCTAAAACACTTTCTACTGTCTGTCAGTAAAAATATGAATCCATGGTTCTCTACTGGGGTCATCACTACAGGTCAACCATCAAATCAGCTAAATGATGATTCTAAGAATAAAGAATACCTGTCCTCTCAGTCTCATTGCTGTCCTCGCCGTGCCCAGAGGGGACTTTTGTTTTATGTTCATGACTCTCGAGTATGTGTCCTATAGATCTATGATGGTCTGACAAATCACAATAAATATAAGAAACAAAAATGATTTAAAAGGTTTTGCAAATTTACTTTCAAAGAAATAACTTCCCCAAATGTAAAGACCTGTCATTTCATTGTGACTTTCTATTTGCTTCCCTGCCTCTCCATGCTCAGAAAAAGGCACTTTGTGGCCATGAGTTACATGTCTGTACTCTTCAGATCTGTGGTTGTCTGAAAAATGAGAAGATTAACTTGAATAGCAAAAATAAATGTCAGTTATAAACTGTTTTTTTAGGGCACCCCTCAGCAGTAAGAGGTGAAACCTAACATTGTGCATGTATTAATTTATTAAAAGTTTGCCCCCTGAACATTGCATGATTGGTAAAAACAAAAAGTGAGAGATCACTGTTTGAAAAATTATAATTTATGCAATAAGCCTAAGTAATTGTTTTGAGAATCAGCTAATATGTTAAGACTTTTCCTATTAGACACTGAGAACAGAATGCCTGGATGTGTAGATTATATCTTCATAACTGCAGCAATGAATTGGTGGTGACAGTTGAAGATACTGTTGTGAAAGCTGATGTGCCTCATCTGAGCTTCAGCTAATGCATGGAGCTGTGTATAGCCAGCTCTAATATCATATAAAGCAACAAACACAATTTACGCCTCCACTTAAGTGTTCAGTTATGGATCCCCCACATCAGTCTACATAAACGACTCAGAAATCTGTAAGCAGAGCAGATCAAATAAACCAGAGACATTTTTATATTCTCTGTAATTAATCAGAATCAGCAAACTTCTTTCCCTTGATAAAAAAAAAAAAAGAAACATTGTGGTTTAAAGAGATATTTTTGGTTTTCAGCTAATAAAATAGAAGTCACAGACTCTGTCCTTTCTGTTTTGGTTCATTGTAGAATCTACGCTTGCTTTCAAATGACGTCTTTACAGCCATAGTTGCATGATGTAATGGTGAGGGAGACAGCGTCTTTGAAAATAGCTGTTGTTGAACAGCAGGGAAGTGTTAAATTGTGTCTCTTGATCTCTCATTTCAGTCCTCAAAGACATTTTTTACCTCAAAATAGAGCTCACCTGGGCCCCTGGTATGACAAGTTAACATTTCTCATCTGGAAATGCTGCAGTTTTTGAGTTTCTGGATTTGTTTGTGTATTTTTTGATTATTATTTTTGTTTTGTTTTGTCCAAAAGCATCTACAACAAAGAGATAAAGAGATACATACAACATTTACTCTCTACTGCCATGTGCATGTCTTTTCACTCATTGTCAGTCTGATATTATATGATAATGATTATATATATATACATATATATATATATATATATATATATATATATATATATATATATATATATATATATATATATATATATATATATATATATATATATATATATATATATATATATATATAAATTGCAACATATATATATATATGTTGCAATTTAGTTATGACCAATCAGAAGCTTATTAGCTGCATCAGGTGTAGTTAGGTGGAATAAATAGGAATAAATATTTTGCTCTTATGCCTAAGACACCAGAATTGTCTAAGCAGGTTTCTGAAGAGACAAAAAACAAATGACGTACAAAAAGTCCCTTAATGTTCCTGGAGAAAGAAGGCATAGTAGAAATATTATAAGTCAGAAGGAAAGAAGATACATTATTTGGATTTTATAGAATGAGGAAGCTATCAATGGCTGAAACCAGATTCCTGAGCTGGTAAAAAAAACACAGACTAGACTAGGTGGCAGCAGGCACCGAGGTTTCAGTTTCCAGAAAAAAGGCACATGATAAATGCTAAAGGGATCCATACCTAAACCCCAAGACATACTACACTAATACTGGAAAGCACAAATAATCTGATCCATATGGTTCCCTACACACAAAGAGAAAGTGGTTGGTACCCATCGTTTGATAAAATAAAAACCCACAATAGTAACAGACAGAACTTGAATCTGTAAAAATTAATTAATTAAAATTTGTGGATCCATGTAGAGTGCGGTACACACCATTTCAAAATACATCACAGTGACTACCAGTAGCCCTATATATACACACCCACTGACTGATTACAGGATTGTAGGAATTTGTGATGCTCAACTGATGCCAATTTGTATAATTTGTTTATAAACATACATTTCAGTTAATATTCAGCCACTTTAACTACAAATGTCTACACAAAACTACTTTAAATGTCAGCTGACCTTTTGCCACTGCATTTCCCTCCTCCTCCCCCCTTTCTTCATGCCCAGACGAAGGTTTTGGTTTGTGGCCACCAGTCTCATCTCGGGGTTCCCCAGACCTGTGGGCACCTATTACAAAGCAATAACCTTTACACCAAAAGAGTTTCAATTCATTTGCCACTTTTCTCCCAAAAGCCTGTTGCTCAGCTGTTTTTCATTTTAAACCCATCAGTTTCTGTCGCTGTCTAAGTGAATCTGTCACAATACTCTTCGTGTCAAAAATGTTCAGAAAGACAGACTGTTTTGTCAGTGAAAAGATTAATTTATATAGAGTTGACCTTGATTTTTTATAGGGCCATTTTTTACCACAAGCTTTCTCCTTGCATGATAAAATTTTTATCTAGAATACTGTTCAAACTCAGAGCAAAACCTACTGCTACATTTACGTGAAATGTGTGTCATTTCAGATGTCTCTTTTTCCCTCTTCTGCCCTGTCTTGCTTGTGCTCAGAGGAGCTTGTTTTGCATCCATGAATCTCATGTACAACCTTGACAGAGACTGAGAAACCACAATCACAATCCTCTAAACAAAACATAGACCTTTTATGGTATTTTACCAGCTATTTCTTCAGGAAAAGGAACTTTATAGCTACTTCGATACTAAAGTAGGTAAAGATTACTGATCTCCTGTCATAAGCTGAAACCTAGTTTTCTTTCTGTCTATCTTTCTCTCTCTGTCATTTAACAGACTGGTCCATCGGGGCCTCAGCCCTTGGCTTGGAAGAAAAGGCTGTGGGAGTCAGAGGGGTAAGAGAAGCTCCTTCATCACTATATTTTCACTCTGGGTGTGAAAGGTAAGACATGATCTTGCTTTTATGTGAATGTCATATGTCTGAATGTTTATTCCCTTTTCTTCATCCAAAATATGCTGATCTAAACCACCAAAGAACTGTCTTATGACCCAGTAATGTCTTCACAACATTGTCATTTTCTTTGTTGAGATGAGCAAAAAACAACTGTAATCAATATGAGCAGACCTAGCATGCACAAACCAATTATAATGCATTTTTAATTGCATAAAATGCCTTTTTCTCCTTCAGGGTTTTATCTTATTCCCACGATCCTCTGCTGTATGCTTTTTGGGCTAACACACTAAGCCCAAGTGAGAGAGGAGAGATGTGAAACTGAATTAGTTTATACAGAGCAGATCAGAAGTTTGTGTACATTTATCACTGAAAATAATTGCTCACTATTTAATCATTTTATATTTATTTCGTAACACTATTATATTTCCAATTACAATTTAATTAACTGGTACAACTTTAAAAACAGAAATTAGATAAAATATATTTTTTTAATCTTGAGGAAGAGTACACACTTTGTTAGCATTAACATAATCCCTGCATCTGTCTAACTGGGTATTTCACTATTAGTCTCTACATAAATAATACAAAGTTGACAAGTGAGGTCTTTTGCTCACGGGAAAAGGGCTGAGGTTAACTATCACTGAGGCTTGATTTTAGCCGTTTTCCCCCCAAACTAGTTTTCTGTGTGTTTAGATCACCTAACCTTGGTGATCTTTGGTGGAACTTGACATACTTCAAGTAAGTAGAACGTGTTTTGCTGCAACTGGTATTGGTGCATTAAACAAAAGGATAGCAGGTAAAATAATATAGAAAAAAATACCTCTACGGTCTGAACTTCAGCTCAAATCACCAGCCAAACTTCTGAAGATTGAACACAACAGTATTTTCCAAAATCCCAATGATTTCAAACAAAGAATTGGAGAACTATACCAAAAAGCTGGGTCAGTGTTGGGTCAGTGTTGCATTTCTGGTAAGAGGAAATGTTAAGTGTTCTGCCAGATTTATCCCAGGAGCTTGTTTATGGAAAAAAGCTCATAAGAAACTACAGAATAAATGTAAACGCTTTAAATTGCCATAACCAACAGTGTAAACACTTGACCAGCATTATAGATCAAGAATCTTGCTAAACAGAGGCATTATTTACTGACTTAAAACACTATAGCCTTGCTCAAAGAGATGGTTTCTATTAGAAAAACTGAATAACCAATCAAACTGAGTGACCACACTTTGAACATCATTAAGGGACTAATGATTGCTGGACAGCAAGAGACTGGAGAGCCGCATGGTTCCATCTGTGTTCCTCCCATTGGGTGTTTAGAGCATGCAAAGTGCATCTTCTTCATAGAGGGGATTCAGCAAGCATCCTGCTCCCATGCGGTGCATCCCCCTTCAGGCTACCTCCCATCCACTCGCTCTTATTCATGCCTCCCTCCCCTACCTTCCCCGGGGCTCCTGTGAGACAGGACGTCAGCAGCTGTTCTCACAGCTCCCAGGACCGTTTCACACAACTGGCATCATGCCATTTCTGCATCTCATCAAAGTTTACCCTGCCTACGTCTCTACTTGTGTCCTCCTCTGGCCCCACCAGACCCGCCTTCTCACACATCTGTCAACACTCGCTCGCTGTAGTGAAGCAGGATTCTGAATCACGGTTGTTTTGGGGGCTGCTCTTGCTCAGCGAAGAGCGTAAATGAATTTGATCTTGGTAACCTGCGCTGCCTTGGGGGCAGGATGATTCTCCACATTAATCTCAGTCAGCTCAGCCCAAACAGTCTAACATCAGACATTGGCAGCTGAAGCATCCCGGGTTCTTGATCGTTCTGCAGCTAGTAAAAGCGAAGGGGTGGGTGAGAGTCGGGTAGGCTTTGTAAGGAAAGACAGTGATGAAAGTCTTCATCTGCCCCCTTGCTGGCAAGCTGACACCATGGCTAAACCAACAGACAGTTACCTCTAACAACACAAGATGGCTTTATTCCTACATTCAGGCTTTGTACATTAATACTACAAATGCCGTAGTTTGTAATCTGCTGCAGCTGGGTGAGGTTAAGTCGGGCTTTGCCCTGATTCTGTCTACATTGCCTCTGCGTCTTTTCTTCACTCTGATCATGTGGCTGATATTCCTAAGTCCCCTCAATGTCTCTAAATGATGCAAACACAATGCCAACTGAAGTCATTCCCTCATAGACTCCCGCATATGCACAATAATCTTTCTCTCACCAGACCTCTCACTCAAACACGCACCAGGGAGATGTCAGTACTCAACAAGAATGGATGACATGATAGGATGCAGATCAGCTTTAATGATAACAGCTTGTGAAGAAAAAACATGTGAGGGGTTCCCTTTCATTATGCCATCAGTCAGCATAGTAAATTTGACTTCTCTTTGTAATCCTCTAAGGATTTGTCTTACCTGCTTCAGTTGACCTTGAGTGATGCTGAACTTGGACAGCGGACTCTTCTATGGCTTTATGGTGATGATGAATATTTTTGACAGAGTGATGGGAAGAAACTTCTGGGACAGGGTGAGGCAGATGTGAGTGTTCATGGACTGTTTCTGAATGAATTAACTCCCGTGGTGTAGGGGAAACTCTGTGTTCCCCCAGCAGAGAGGACGAGGGAGGAGGATGAACCTCTGTTCTGACAGGAAGTGTGTCAGATTGTCCCACTGGTATCAGTGGAGGCTCAGAGGAAATGCTGGTGGATAAAGCATGGTGCGTTTGAGGCACTGAGTTCTCTGTAAATCTGCTTTCTGCTGCCGGAGCTCTGCTGTCTGTTGAATCAGGTGCAGGAAGACAGAGAATGTAAATGCAATGAGGAATGAGCAAGCTAAAGAATTAGCATAAGAGATGCTGCCTCAGATTGCTTATCTGAAGAAAGCCAAGCTTTTGTTTTCCCAATCCAAACACACACATACACCTATGCAAGCACACTCATAAGTGAGAACGCACAATGAAAGTGTGATTTCACACTGCTGAGATAGGCTAAACTGAAAAGCTGTTCCACAACCCTTTCACTGCTAGAAACTGTATTCTGAATAAAAACACTGTGCATATTATGGACCGAATTATGGACCATTGTTGTTGTGGTTCTAAAGTAAAAATATATAATTTCTTTCACTGCTTGTTACCATTTTGCAAACTTTTTATTCTGTATATGGTTAGATTTTGTCTTTGATCATTTAATACTTTCAGAAAAGCAGTGTATGATACCTTTATCTACAACAACACAATGCCAAGAACCACTTGAGGACATCATCTATATTCATAAATTATCCTCTGAAAAGTTATTACAACTTTTGCTTTTATATACATTTTCCAATTTCTATGTTAAATAGAGACATGTGTTATAGTTCATTTACACCCTCTTAAAAGCATTCCTATTTTATCTGTATTTTTTTTATATACACTGAGTATGACAAGTTTCATTGATAAAACCTGGCGCATGTTTTCTGCGACCTATCATCTACTCTGAACATTTTTTCTGCCTGTTGTAACTTTGATCTACAGTAAAACTTTGATTTTAGGAACTGGTAAATTTCACAGAGTTTTAACAACCACAGCCTAGAATCGGTGTTCCAAAGGAGTACGGAGCACCCCGACACTCAGATAACCTGCAGTAGCGGCAGCAGCAGGGATCCTTGTTTATCAAAAAAATGTTAATAAGCAACTTGCTGATTTTTGGCTTGTTGATTTGAATTATATTGCATTTAAAGTTAACAGAAAGTATGAGCATTAAAGTATTTTAAACTGAGGTGTAGAAAGATTTAACTGGCTAAAACCTTTCCCACAGAACTCCATATAAATATTCCTTCTCTTCTCTTTTATTTTATTATTATTTTTTTAAACTATTTTTCAAGGTTGCACTTTTAAATAAGATAAAATTGTCCAGAGATGTTCCAAACGAAATTTCTTTTCGTTTTACACTTGTGTAAAGAAAATGACAAATAAAATCTGTCTAAGTCTCTCTAAATCTTCTCCTTAAATCCAGCTCACTAACAGATGCTCTTTCTTGTCCATTTCTACCATAAAGATATATTATGAAAACACAATGTGTTTAGTTACAGAATGTTCAGGTTTAATTAATGTATCTGTTTATTTCCACCTGTGTGAGATGTCTGATTAAAACATTGAGAGGAATGGAAGTTTGTATTTAGAGTAAATATTATTTAGAGTAATCCTGAAAACTGGAAATTTCAGCAAATAACTCTTAAATGAAATGTGCCCCGAGCAAACCACTCCATCGGCTGCCCCTGAAATTGTTCAGTTATTAGGAGATTCTGGGTTAGGATGATATCCGCTGCAGTCCACCATGAAGCGTGAAAGCTAATCTTGCTATTCTTAACAGTAAGAAAGGGACGTGTACTTTCCCACTTACTGCTTACTATCACTTATGCAAAAGCAATAACGAAAAATTGTTTGGCACAAATTATCAATGACTGCCACTGATTCTTTGGCAATAAAGAAATTATTCAAACGAAAGATAATCTTCCATCATTTTACAATACTTTACTTGAAACTCTAAACTAAGTCTTAATAGTATCTCCATATATGTGACAGCAGCATCACGTTGTCAGCATACTGTTTACCTCTGTCCATGCTTCCCTGTATTATATATACATGCATTGTACTGTTGAAATATTGTAATTCTTTAAGAAAATAATGACGATTTACAACAATTACAATTAACAATTAAACAGTGAAAATTGTGCTTCCTCTTTTTTAAGCTGTTATGGCTAACACACAGCTAATAGTACAATGGATAGTAAAAATCTGATCCAGAACAAGTTATCCCTATAATTCCTGAGATTTTTTTAATTTTGTCTGCAGCTTTACTTTTTTTGGATGGTGGGGATTGCTGTTGCTCATAAGGTATCCTATCAGCACCCGGCAGATGGATAAAGCATTTCCTCTATTCACACCGTGTTACTTAAGTTGTTTTAGGATAATGGCATCTGTGAAAGGATCTAATTTAATAATGGCTCTCGTTTTCCAACACGGGTCTGACATAATAAAGATTTATCCTAGATTACTATCACATTCTCCTTAGTGTCTCATTAGATTTGTTCCTTTAGATACACTGTGAGGTTTGAAAGCAACCATGGAGCAAATAAAGTCAGTATTATTTGCAGGTCATAAGAATGTTTGTTGATAAAAAAAATGTTTAAGGAAATTTTTCTTCCTGAAAGAATTGTGGAACATCTGGTTCTATATAAGTTTTCTAAATACAAAGCATGAAAGCACAACTGCTAAACTAGGGAGCACAAAAGAAACACAAACAAACAAAAGAGCAAACAAATTACAGAAGGCCACTAAAGACATACTCATTAAAAAATAGGAAAAAAAAACTGCTGGTTTAAATATTCAAACTATTCTTTTTAATATAGTCAGAATGGAAGCTGTTAAATTTAATTCAAACAATGGAGCAAAAGTCTGCGTGCTCACCTGTTGAATAAGAGGGCACAACCTTATTTGTTTAATTTTTTAACCAGATAGCAGATCTGACCTCAATGAACCTTTTCTGTAAGTTTCAAACAATAACAAAAAGATAAGTTGTAAAACTGATCTTTGAAACAATAATGTTAAATAGCTACAGTACAGGCTAAAACCTTTAAAGATGGGGGGATGCTTGCATTGAAACTAATCTTTCCCAGACTCTTTGTCAAATCAAGTCTGGACTTTGGCTGGGATGTTAGACACATTCATTTTATTTCTAGACGGATAAACCTTTATCTAAATTAAAAGGTTAGTTTAAGCCTGACTCTAGCAGGTGTCATTTTAACACAAATGGTGTCAAATCAACTCAGGCTTAACAACAACCGCATTGAATTTTTGTTAATTTTAATCCAGCAATTTTCAGATGGTAAATTTATCTAACGTAGTAGAAGGATGCTAAATACTATGGACACTAAATTAGCTAGCAGGTCTGATACTACAGTGTAGTGCCTACCTTCACCTATATCAACATGGTGAGAGTTAACAGAACTGACAAGTGAGTTTCCACGTTCATCAGCAGGGATGGTGAGTTCCGAGTTGTCTGTGTGTAAATAGAAATATAAAATACAAGTTTCATTTTCCAGCCATTCTGCACAGCATCAACAGTCTGAGTTTATATCAATCATAATCCCTCCAAAATGCACCCGTCTGTTCAAATGGACTCTCTAGCTGCCCCATGGTGACACACTCCCCTGGCACAAACTCAAACACCTACTATTCACACACAAACCCGAGGAACATCATCTTTTTTTGGCCTTCTCACACAAATGCATTCGCATATAATGAGATCATTTGTCACTCTGCTAAAATAATCCAAGAAAGTGTAAATAATAATGTCTAAATGTCACATGTCAGTCTCAGCATTCTCATCATTTGTTACAAGAGTGTGAGACACTGATTTGTCTTTGCACTAATGCAGTCATTGTGATTCAAGATCTGTTAACATCTGCACAAAATCTTAATAGCGTTAAACGGCATGGATGTTGTTAATATGTCACATGATTTTCTAGCCATGATCCAATCACTTGATAACTGAAGCCAAGTATAGTTTTTCAAAAAAAAAAAAAAAAATTGAGGATTTGAGCAGAGAAGCATGTCACCAGCGAGTGTTGGCACACTCTTCTGCATGTGCTTGACCATGTGACTGTGTATTTCCAAGCTCCTCTGAAGTTTCAGAGTTTGGATGAAAAATAAACTGGTCACATGGGAGTCATGCAGTCAGGTTGGTAGATTTATGACAGGGTTTAAGGATTGGGTCTCTATGACCTGCAACCCTCCCCCCATGCTAACACCCATCTGTCCAGACTGACCAATGAGCTGCATGCTCAGTGGATCAGACTCTCTTGCCAATAGATTGCTAATCCTCTGCGCATGCCTGTTGACTTAACTGGGGCAGGAAAGAGACAAAGGATGAAACTACTATGACATATAACTGTCTAGCACGTTCTGGACATCTGATGTAAGGATTTCATAGATACACCTGCTTAGATGGGAGCCATAATATAAAAAAAAATCTCTTTGCTTTCTTTGACTTTAGCTTGAAATTATAATCCCATGTCCAAGAAGAAAGCATTGAAATAAAAAATAAAATCCCTCCATGTATTGATGTTGCAATTATTTACTTGTTTCAGACACATTTAAGCCATTAAGACAGTTGAGACAATTAAGTTTTTTAAAATGATTTTAAACAATTAATGGTGTAAAGTGGACTACTTGTAGACATGATAAGGCTGTTACTACACCGCAGCATAAAAGCATGGTGTGTCAGTGGGTTTGTGAGTTTTAGTGTGTGCTTGTGCAAACAGTCGTGGCGGCCGCTTGGTGAGAATGGGACCTAAGACCTCAGAGCCCCAGGAGGAACTAGAGGGGATGAAGATGATTTATGGGATCCAGTGAACGGCACCATATGCTTGCAATAAATCTAAACATCTACCTATACGTTTTTACAAACACACACAGAAAACGGGAGGAGGGCTTACATACAACAGGGTCAGTTTAAGACCTAAATACACTTCTCTAATCATACGATTAGAAAAAAGTTAGAAATGATTATTCATTATGGTGTCCCAGAATTACAACTGATCACTTTGTGCTACTTTAACTAAACTTAACTGCTTAGCAGCATGTCTGTTTTTAGAATCTAATGTTTTTTTTATTTGTATGAACATATATATATATATATATATATATATATATATATATATATATATATATATATATATATATATATATATATATATATATATATATATATAAATATATATACATTTATTTTTGTAACCACAGAGCCCCTTTAGAGTCATGGAATAGAGGCTGATAACTATCTCCATACAAGACACTGAACCATCACAGGGCAGCAAAGATACACACAGGAAAACCAACCTAACACTCATGCTTGTTGCGCCTTACAAAAGAATTCACATTGTGTTTTGAGAAAAATGTGGTGCAGTTCAATTCATTTAAAAAGGACTGTATATGACAGTTGGTAATAACTGTTAAGTCGAAGAAAAAATTATCCATACATATTGGTATAAATAGAACTAGCGGTGAGTTATGGTCAAAATGTAGAAATGCACAGCAAATAGATTAATGCTTAGCAAATAACAAACTATAGCAACTTCTGCAGTGTAAAAAACTAGACAATTCACATGCATATAAAAAATGCTGCTCAAGAAAAATTGTGCACTTGCAGTGAACAGAAAGCAGCGACATGCAAGCACCTTGCAAATACAAAACCTACTACTAACATATAAAGTATGCTAACAAACTAAACAAATACAAAGGAAAAAATGCTAAAAGTACAGGTAGTTATAAGATCTAATAGTAAATAGAAAGCTACAAGCAATTTCTGGATAGTATAAATGTTCCAGACCCTTATTAAAGACATAAACGGGAAGCTCACAGAGCTTATGTTTTAAAATAGCTTAAAATGAGTACTTATGTTCCTTGGGGAGACATCCTGTTTATGTCTATGCTAGGGGTCTGATCCATATACATTAATTCATAGCATTGTCTATGATCTGGTCCCATATGAATCTATGATTGTTTCCCCCTGTAGTCTGAAGCAATTCCATCAAACAGAGCGGGTTTGCAGGATCTCTTTAACTGCAGCTGGTTTTGCTACAAGCAGCGTTTTTATTTGCAAGCGGTAAATTAGTTTGTTTTCGTCTCATTTTAGTGTTTGCAGGCTTTACTTTTGTCTTTGCAGTACTTTTTGTATTTGCTGCGCATTTATGTGTTCGCAGTGTGTTTGCATTTGTATTCACGCTACATGACTCCATGCCCTTAAAGGTCCTTACTTTTTTTGTCAAAAGCATTTTTTCCCCCTCAAAATTATTACAGTTATAGAACCTTTAGAGTGGTTGAGAATACAAGTGTTAATTCTACTGGAAAAAAATAATGTAAAAAAAGTTTATGCAGTTTTACCGGTCTTCTGACTGCTTCTTTTATCAATGAAATCCTTTCCAAATCTTTCAGTTTAAATGGATGGTCATGGTTTGGTGGATTTGCAGTTATGCCATACTTGGACATTTTTTGGATGTTTTTGATTTTTTTTGAAGACCTAACCCCTCTTTAAACTTCCTCACAACTTTCTTCCTGTCAGTTGTGTTCCTGTGTCCTAGGAATGCTGTTTCTACACTAATGGTCTCTAACACACCTGTAAGGCTTACACAGAACAGCTGGATTAATATTGTGATTAAATTAGCCAGACGATGAGATGCTGTAATCATTAATAATTTACTTCTTAATTAATCAGTTGCCCTGGATTCTATTTTGACTAATTAAAATGAAAGAGAAGGAATACAAATATATTACAACTTTTCTGGCTTTTAAAAACATGCATAATTTCCCTCCCTAATCACAATACCATACTGTATGTGCTACATTGAGCAGATGACAATAATTCCTCCAAAATCCAATGAATTTTGCTGTTGAAATGTAAAACAATTCTTTTTGGCTTTGGAAGGTAGCTAGTGTACTTGGTCAAAACCCATGCACGGATACATAGTACATGTGTCTGGCTAGGATTTAACTCCAAGATCTATAATAAATGTAGTGTTTTGGAGTTAAAGCTGCAAAGGTAAATGAAAAAAAAAAAAAAGTTTTTATTAACTTTTTACAGTCCTAAAGGAAACGCTTCTGTTAGACGTATATTTAACAGAAACATTAATGTTATTTTTACAAAATATCTGTGCCCTTCATGTCGAGCTTTCAAAGGCTTACAAAGTCCTTTAGTGTAAGCGTCTGTCAGACTCTCTTGAGTCATTGCTAATCATCAAACTCTTTTGAGTTTTTCTCCTGATGTCAGCCAAACAACAAAAGTGCTGTGCCGTGCAAAAGCCCACATTTAATGGATTCCTTCAAGACCGGTTGACATCACACTCATGGAAATCCAAGCATCTACCATGTTTTTAGTTTTGGCACAACATTAAAAGTACTGCTGCTTACCAAGATGGCAGGTTTTAATTCAGTATGAAGGCAAACTGGGCTTTAAGGACCACTTCACTGTACATCAAGGCAGCTGACATCTTTCCCATCTACCCGGCCTGGTTTAAGATCAGTCAGTCAGAACAAATAAAGTCTGAATGTCACAACACTTTGACAACCCAGCTTTCAAGACAGAACAATCCACATCTAACATTAATGTCCGCAATATAAATAGCCTGAGAAATGGTCAATGTTCAGCTGAAGACCTCCAGTAAGTTGGAGGATGAATTATGTATGATTTCTACACTGACACAAACACCCTGCCTGTCAGAGTCTATAAGCACATCCACAGGAGCGCACAGTGGATTTGTCACAAGTGTGTAGGAAGTTCCTGCTACAATGTGATGGCATTATTTAAACATTCAGGCAAAGAAAAACTCATATCACTTATTAAAGTATCCAGAATTTTCCAAAAGATGGAGGGAAAAAGGCTTCTTAAGTTTGCAGCAGCAGCAGGCCTCTTTTTGGGGGTTAAAAGATTGCTTAAAATCTCCTACTCTGCTATATTCAAATATATTTTTAAACTTCAAAGTAAATATTAACTTTTCCAATTTAGAGTACCTTCTTACTCTTTTATCCCCCTGCAAACTTGAATGAAAAAAATATTTCAATTTATTTGACTTGTAATATTTACTATAAAAACCCAGCAGTAAACATAATCATCTCAATATTATTACTCTTGACTGCCTTACAACTCTGGTTTGCAGATCAGACACTACATGTTCATGTTTTTAGCCTGAATCAAATTAAAATTTAACATTCCATGCATGTGTAAAATTGTGCTTTCTTCTCAGTAAATGTGTACGCTTTTAGAGGAGCAGTAATAAACAGTTGTTTCTATCGACTCCTCTAGAGTCACTGCTTTGTGTTCTGATGTACGGCCTCTGCTGTATTTTTTTTTATTTTTAACTGATAGCAAATTGAAGTACTGGCGGACTAATTGACAAATTGTCCTGGGCATGAATATTACATTCTGGATTTTTAAAGAAAGAGTTAAACTTTTCTTTTTATGGCGGAAGGATTACACAAAAAAAAAAAAACCCAGTTAACTAAACACTGGCCGAAAAACCCTTTAAACCCAGGAACAATTGGCTTTTTTTGGCAGTGGGAACAGCTCACTGTGATGTGTCTACTACTCGGCAAGCGACCGTTAAAATCGCTTTGGATCTGATCGGCATACAGTGGGAACACCAGACCCGGGTTGGCACGTTAAATTATGTAATGACTTTGAGTTCAACATATGTACGTCACAACACTGCATCGGTCGCGTGTTAAATAAGAAGCTCGAACAACTCTGCTTGTATTTGAGAAACATGGATGAAACATGGCAAGATAGAGAGGTTTGTGAGCTCCTTATGATCTGCCGAAGAAGAGGAGCTTCATTGCCAGGTTTAAGGAACCGTTCCAGTATTTGCAGTTTATTTGTCGTACTGTCGACATTAGCAACGCTCACCCAGCGTGGTGCTGTCATCAAAAACGCAGTGGTGAGGGACAGTGGCCACGCAGCTTGCCAGCAGGGGGTTAGACCTGGCTTATCAGTTCAATGGGAATAGAGCCAAAAGCCGAATGTTAGCGGGACAAGCTAGTTTTGAAAAACCCAGGATTTCAGTGTGAAAGCGTCTTTATTGTAAACATTTTCTGAACTTCTCAGTTGAAAAAAGTAAAGTAAGCTAAAATACACACATTCAGTCCTGCTAATACTGAGTTAAACAAACACATACCATTTCATTTAGCTATCATCAAGGTCTTGGCATTAGTCTGACTCTAAGTTGATTTCTTTACATTTCAGAGCATGCATGGAACCATGGTTTCGTGGTTTGGCACTGGCTTTAAAGCATAGTTTCAAACTTTAATAGTGTTGAGATCAGGATTTATCCAGAAGCTTGATAATTTCCTACTTTATCCATTAAAATGTTGTGATGTTTGTCAGGGATCATTATCCTGTTGGAACACCAACAGTGTAAAGGTTTTAACAATCTAGCTATTGAAACGAAGAGAAATTCTTGCATCTTTATTATTCCATTACCTTTTTGCAGTAACAATAACAGGTATTACCAGCATCATGCTGAGGTATGTTCAGTTGGTTATGTTACTGGTAATAACAGGTATTACCAGTAACATAACCAACTGAACATACCTCAACATGATGCTGCCACCACCATGTTTAACAGTTAGTACAGTGCTCTTACGCTTTAATATGTCACCTTGACTCCTCAAAGCATAATTGTTCTTTTGACCACATATGTAGCTCAATCTTTGTTAGACTGGCCTTATTTCTAACAGGACCTAATTTCAGGTTTGTAATTCTTTCAGTTCAAATAGATGTATAAATCCCTTCTTTATGAACGTTGACACTCAGGTTAAGAGCCAGTGTCCTAAAATTCCAAGGTGCTACCCTCGCTCAGTATATTCCTGGGCATACACTGTGCAACATTTTCAAGTGTTGCACGCAGCTACAGCTGAAACAGTACAACGAAACCGCAGGGTTTCACAGCTCACGATGTATGTTTTAACACTGTGCGCCCCGACACTCGGATGCGACCTTACGCCGGCCGACTGAATTTCAAACAGGTTTCATTGTCTCCCGACCTTACCATTCCTGATCGGGAGATCGGTGGTTGTGAGAGGCTGACCCCCCTTGCTAACCGCTGTATACTACACGACGCAAGTCGGCCTGATCGAAACATTCTCGCATGACTGGATAATCAGCCCGAAAATGGCAAATATGCCCGACATGAGGGGGTTAACTCTTGTTTCTGTAGAAGCTGAGGAGGATGTATTTAAGCCTTTGTTTTGGAGTATAAAGACATGATAAATATAAAAGATTCCAAATCTTTAGGCCTGGAGTTGAATGGTTGTTCCACCATCTTCTAGTTGGGTATGAGTATTCATTTTCTGAATTTTCTTGAACATCCAAGCCAATATTTTCTATTGTGTATGTGTGTTTGTGTGTGTGTGTGAGTTTTTTGTCACACATGCCTAAAACAGATTTAAACAGGGGTATTCAAACACAAAATGATCCAAATACAGATCAAAGCTGGTTGGGAAAAGCAGGTAAGCCATAAATATTAAGAACAAGCCCAAATCCACAAACAGTTGAAGACATATGGATTGTTCTTGAAAGCCAGGTCTTTACCAGGAAATCAAACAATTCAAATGATTTCCAAAAAATGCCAGAAGCTTGCTGATAGCTTCAACAGATCATATATTTTTATGTAACTTTCTTAGAGATGTATAACAAAAGGCAAGCAGGAAGTGTGTATAAATGTTGGCCTGTATGCATAATTTGGACCCTGGGTGAAATAGAGAGACTTTTACAACAAATTCTACTCATGCAGCCAGTCCTTGTTTTATGTTCTGTGACAAATGTACAAACCATAATTTAAATGCATCCAAGTTTGATATTCATGTATTTCTCATTGGCAATGTAGCTTATATAACATTGAGAGCATATTTCTTTGTAAACTAATCATCAAGCCAGTTTAGCTTACGACCAACCACTGAAACGGACTATTTAGAACCTCGAAAGCTCACATATTAGTTTGGTTTTATTTAGCTTTAATAATCTCTGCAGAAATCTCTGTAAACTGTGCTCCTAGGGGTTGTTCTGCTTCAAAAGATTCTCCATGATTTTACAGAGCCAAGCCCATAAACACATCCTTATGTTTTCCACAGTATATATCATACAGACTGCAAAACAACGAAAGGTGAACTTATGGCGTAAGCTCTAGAGGTGATGTCTGTCGTTCAGGGCAGGATTGTTGTTTTATGTTGTTTATTATACCCTGGATGAGTTAAACAACTGCTGTCTGCAGCATCATCTCTGAGAAACAGACATGACAGCTTTGTCAATCATCTGTTCCAGCTCCCTGAAGGGAAGACAAATATTTCCCATAATACTGAACAATTTCTTTAAAAAAAAAATAGCCTTAGGTATTTTTTTTTGTTGAGAATCCACAAAACCACTTAGCTTCTGATTGTGTTTTAGGATAGAAAGAGATTTTTCTGCAGTGTATGCAACTGTTGGTGTAACTAGAACTTCCTGTCTCCTGGTGTTTACTAGACAGGACTGAAGTGACATTATGAGGTTAGGCTTCTGCTGGATTTCTACAAAAGAAGGAAAATCTATTTTTTTTTAACTCTATCTATAACTAAACTAAACTACGTTTCGCACCTTTCACAGAAGCACCAAACGGATTATGTGCAACAGCCTGCGACCCATCAGCCTCAGAGATGATTATTGTATCAGTTCCGGGTTCAGCTTCAACTTCATCTTCAGCTCCTTTCCTGTCTTCATTTACAGAAAAAGGAAACAAACCGTCTTTAGGTAGTTTTCAAAGTAATACCAATGAATCTTTCATTGACAAATCTGAACCTGTCCACAGCAGGGCGAATAACCTTCATGACTGAGATGTTTTTCTCTGGTTAGTTAAAAAATTATATAGGTTTTTAAAAACTGCTTGAGGCATATTTGTGTGAATTGGATATCTAGTGATTATTGAATATGATGACAGAGAGGCCCACTTTATACTTTGAACTCTCACTTTCCTGTTAAAATGGAAAATTATTTATTTTCCCTTTACTTTAAGGAACATTAAAATTGAGTTCCAATAAAATAAAATAAAGATACTGTTTTGAATGAACTATTAGTGAATTACTGCTTTAGCTATACCCAGGATCTTCTTGTTTTGAACTATGTTGCTGTTAATGCAGATGTTTTTTTTTACTTTCTGGTTGAACAGAAGTGTGAAACTATTTTGAGTCCCAAAGTCAAATTTCTTTCAAGGCCATAAGAAAGATATCACATTGAAAAATCCTCAGAGCAGTGATTTAAAATTGAAATTGTGCGAGTTTAACAACACAGAAGATTTCAGCTATAACCACACCATCGATACACTATATTTCTTTGACTGATTAGTTATTATTTGCCTCCCCCCCCAAAAAAAAAAAAAAAATCAATCAGTTGTTTTGGTATCAAACAAGCTTTTAAAGAGCAGTCATCTGTCCTCCTGCAGTATAACCCAATTGTTAGGTTTATCCATGCATGGATCAGTCCTTTACAGTACTGGGCCATGTGGGGAAAAGCCCGGCGCTGTCAGGGTAGATGTTGCCACTTTGCCGATCGTTTTTGTCTAACAGCTCGGAGGCTGAGAGCCTCTCCACAGAGAGAATCCCTAATCAAATTCCCTTTTATTCCTGGCTTCCCTCACTCCTCACCCAGAATCACGCTGCATTACAACAAACTAACATATGCCCACATCCTTATCTCCAGTTGCTCCTTCTGTTGTCCCTCAGTTCTGTGTGCTGCTCCATCCAGGACATACGCAAAACCCCCTCTGATCCCCATTCCTTCAATCCATCAACAACAACTGTCATTAGTCTAAATATTAAAAAGCAGATATGTGGAAGAATTCCTTCTGTGCAGGTTAGTGAGATGTTCTGTGATGAAAGGATGTGGCGACGGAGAGATTTATTAATAATGAAGCTCTGAGGGCTCACCAAGTGTAGGGATGCGGGGGAAAAGAAATGAGCAACTGGAGAGAGCCAGCTGAACATCACAGGGGAGAGAGGTGGAGTTTAGCAGCAATACAGATGGAAAAATAGATGGGTAACAAAAAAAATTCAGTGCAACAGAAAGAGATAAGAAGCGAGCTGGGACAAGAAATAGAAATGAGAACCAAATCTTCTGCTTTGCTTTGCATTATTACTTACTAGAACCGGAGGGCGAACCAGCAATTGCACCTGAAAGAGAATAAGAAAGGGAAGAGGAGATGAGAACTTGTTTATTTATGCATTCAATTTGCCTAAAGACTTGACTCTGCCTCATTTATCAGACTCAGGTGGCAGAAGGCTGTTAAGAAAAATAAGGGTTGCAGAGGACCACCACTCATCGTCCCTGAGTAATAAAAGGATTTGAACTGCCTCCCTCTTGTCCCAAATCTGACTGTCTCACTGTATCTTCGGTTTATGCTTTCTTGCAAAGTGCATATCCACTTAAGTTTTTTCAAATAAAGCTTATTTTTTGATTAACATAAATGTAGTCCTACACTATAGAGTATTATGATTTCTGTCTTAACCAAGCTTTGGCTGTTTTATTTCATGATACAACCTGGAGAAGGCCGCAAGCATTTTAATGCTTAAAAGCCACAAATTGAATCCAGAAGTTTAAAAAAGCAGGGATGAGGTCTGAAGGTGTGTGTCAGTCCTGATATAAGTGAGATAGCAACAACAGCATAACGGGGAAAAAAGGCAGACAGCTTTAAGCAGTAAGGGCACACACAGAAGCATCTCTGCTGGTGTTTTTGGCTGTCTCTTTAAGTGCATAAAGAGTGTGTCAGTGTTAAGGCAGAAAACTGGGGAGGGGCTGCCCTAGATTATTATTTTATCATAGCTAGCTCCTGAGGCTGGTTACTCCCTCCAAAAGGATTTCCTGCCCACACACCACTGTGCTGTCGCACAGCCCTGCTCTCTGCAAGGAGGTCAAAGAAACTCTTTGAGCTTTGTATCCTCATCATCTTTTATACTCTTCTTTTTTTTAAATCTTCTCTTTTGCTGGGGGTTATGCATATACCTCTTAATTTATTAAAGGTCATTTAAAAAAGTTAATCTCAATCTTTCCAAAAATCATTTTAGAGAAAAGACACTGCATGTCAGCTGTTGTTAGATAAGAAAATTTGAGCAGCAAATTAGCTGTGGAAATACAATAAAAGAATCCTTTACACCACAGCAAGACATCAGTGTTCCAGCTGTCTGCAGACAGTTACTGCCAACAAATGAAACAAAGTACACAGGAACAAAGTTTGTCTAAGGTTTGATTTACAGACGATTCATCTAATCTTTTTTGGTAACAATCCCTAATTGGTACAAAACCAACAAAATGCATCATGTAAGCAGTTCATTTCATCTGTGGAAAAACATAGAGACTTGATATAATGTATTAGCCTGTCACAGCCATAGCACGTAAACCACAAGTGACTCCGGCCATATTTGGCGAGACCAATCAAAGGCGGGGCTGTATGATGTGTCACTCTCAGTAGCTTTCTTCTTTTCTGCTAGCATAGCAGCAAGATGGAGGCGACAATGAGCAATGCTTTAATAATCCCGTTTCTGTTACCCTAAGTGAGACGGATCTCACTTAGGGTAACTGACAGCTTTAGTGTCACTACTTTTTAAAAAGTAGTCCATGGCATGATTCATGGACAACAAAATTACAAAAATAGTGCGCCACGCTTGGAGTTTTTTTTGCATCTCATCCGTAATTATCTAATTGGTTTTAACCTGATAACACTCACCCTGTTAATCCCGTCTTTGAAATTGAGCTCTACCAGCTCCTTACCAGATGGACACGCTGCATATAGGACGTATCAGCATGGCTGGCCAGCATAATAATCTATAGACTTAACAAACTAATCAATCTTTCTCCATTTTAGCTCTTTTAGAAAGCAGTTAGAGGGTAGGCTGTAAATTACAAATTGTGCATCTCTGATAGTGGCCAATTGCTAGGATGTGGGAAAAAAACTCTCAATATTAATATTATATTAAAACAGTCTGACCTAAATTGGTGTAACTTATAAAAAAATTGTATTGTAAACAATCCTACATTTTTTTAAATTGAAAACTCACAGGAGTTTGAAGAGGCTATATTTCTACCTTCCTCTAGCACCTAGTTGTGCAACAATGCTAATGCTAGTTTTTGCAGTAAAAAGAATTTAAACAGAAACTACAGGAGAGGGAAAGGTGTATAAAAGGAGCATGGGATTGCCATATTTGAAAGCTGACACAAACACATTATAAGCATGCAGTTCATGCCCACTGCCTGGCCAAAAAAAAAAAAAATTACTCCTCTTGTTTGCTGCTTTAGCTTTTTTTTTTTTTTTTTTTAGCTCTTTGTTCACTTTTTTGTGTAAACTTGAGCATCAACGACTGAAAAGAGTCCTTTTAAATCTAACCGGAAAAGAAAGCCTTTGTTCAAGGAGTTGAAAAGAGTATAAAAAGTGGGAGCGAATAGTATATGCTGTCAGATTGCCGTATGCTCAGGTTTTTATCTAACCCAAATTATTTCTGACTCAGAATTTGTTTTCAATGTTTTCTATGATTTCAAACATAAAAACAAAATGTAACAAAAATGAAATTCCTGAACACATGTTTTTCAATACTAAAGTAACTTGATTTAAATTAATATTGACTAATATCGTTTTAACTATTGGGGCTTCTTCTGTCAACATCCTGGAAACTTCAATCATGTCCGGCCATTTCTGCATCCAAGAAATAACAATATAATCGCTGATTTTCTTTTTTCAAAGATAAGATAAATGTGTTTTTCCTGGTCCGGACACTACTGCTAAAATTCAATGTGGGAATAATTCTGTGTTGCACATGTGCACGCATGCGTATTAGAACAATGTATGCTGATCTAACAACATATGCTGTTCTGACAGAACAACTGCTAAGTGTGTATTTAGGAGATTCTTTTCAGAGATGGCGAGCCCTAAAGGGGCAAAAGGGTCTGAAATAGGATGCTTTGGTTGCAAAACGTCTGCTGGACAGGTAAATTATGTCTAATTCTGTAGTAAGTACTCTATTTTTTAAATGAGGAAACATGTATAGTTGAAAATATGTAATGTGATATGTTGGCAACAAAGGATGCGTTCCAGCAAACAGTCGAGAGCAGGGCGATTCTGACAACAAGTTATTTAATCCCAACTGTTGCAATAAGTTGATTCTAATTTCTTAATGAGAGGCAACTGGGTTTAGCCGCAGTGTAGCGGCCAGAAAAAACACATTTATGTGGGTTAGAGCAGTGAACTTGGGCTCTGAGAAGGTTGCATGTAGCTGGTTTAAAGCCCATTGCCTCCACTCTGGGTTCCTGAGCAAAACCCTTAACTCCAAACTGCTCCCGGGCGCCACAAAGATGGCAGCCCACTGCTTCACAAGGGGATGGGTTAAATGCAGAGATAACTTTCTCCAATGTGAGCTCAATAAGTTTCCATTAACAAACAATAATGTCAAATGACACAAAAAGTCAGTCTGTTTCAGAAGGGTCCAATCATGGGAATACAGAGAAAACATCTAAGGAGATTAAAGAAACTAACAAAATTAGGCCAAGAACTGCCCAATAATATTTTTTTTTTAATTAATTTAATGCCCAACACATTATCATAAACTGAAAGTATAGTGGGGACCCATTGTCTTTAATGAAAAAAATGGTCCAGAAAAAAAATTCAGAATGCTCGTAATCTGGGATCACTTAAGTGTGTGACCTTTTTTTTTTGGTGGCAACAGTTTTTGGCGGGGCAGGCAATGTATTTTTCTAAAAAAAAATTTTTCTACTACATTTTTTAACATAATATAAATCAACATTTTATTTTACTTAACTCTTATTTAGTATTTTTTTTATGTATTATTTTTTTCAGTTTTGTGTTATTTGAATTATTAGTGTGAATTAATTAATAATTTTCCCATCGAGGGTATGTAAACTAGGGCTGCAACAACGAATCGATAAAATTGATAAAAATCGACTTTTAAAAGCGTTGGCAACGAATTTAATCATCGATTAGTTGTGTCGCGCGATTAATGCGTCATCCGCCGCCGCCGTCATCCAGGGAAGGAAAAAAAATATGGCGGAGCGAGTCAGCGCCGCATTAGCAGTGTTGCCAACTCAGCGACATTTCAGACCCCTCCAGCGACTATTTTTCAAAAAAGCGACTAGCGACAAATCTGGCGACTTTTTACGGTGTCACTGGCGGGGAGTGTGGCCGTGGGGCGCCTCCCCCATCCCAACCCCTTTCTCCCTCTTCCACAGGAATCCCTCTCAGCGCTGCAGTCAGAGCCGCAGGAATTTAGTGAGGAGTTTACCCTCAGCGTCCAGACTGCAAATGAAGCGCGCATGCGCCAGGATTGACGGCGCAAATTGATCACAATAATTAAAATAGCCTGCGCTTTGTAAAGTAAAAAAAGTCGTAACATGCAACTTTTGTAAAAACAAATGAACATGGCACGGAAGCACCACTGTTATGACGCAGCACCTGAAAAGAAAACACGTTGGAGCCTTCAATGGCAGTGAAGAGAGCTGATCAGCAGGATGAGTAACCGTGTTTGTTTGGTTTTAAAGTGGGGAAACGTTACGTTAGTTTCTCAGGTAGCTCATCTGATGCTTTCCTTACCTTGTTAGTAGGTTACAGACAGTGATAAGGTTGGCTACTTATTTTACTTTTAATTTCATTTGAATTAGCTTAAGCAGCGTTTATATTTTCTTTATAAATAAATTAACTTGCAAATTATGAGGGCAAGGCTTTTAAAGTTTAAATCTTCTGGCAAAGATAAAGAAGATCCTGCAATTTATGGAAGTAAAGCAGAATAAAATCCAGCAAGATCAGTAATATGTCAATTAATTATATGCCACATTCCCATGTAAATATCTGTCTTTGGAGGATGTGTTTTTTAGCACCCCTAGTTCTCTCATTTTTATTCCAAATACGATTTATGATTTGAATCACAGGGCTATTTTTATCTCTATGGTTCAGTATTTTCTCAAGCAACAACCTTAACTGCTATACTTTCCTGTCTTAAAAGGCAGAACTCTTCTAGTCTAAAAAAACTAATTTGTTGAAATGGGGGGACCTATTGTTTGAACCCCTTAGGGGCTTTAAAAACAAAAATGCCTGTCTCTTTTTGCGCTTTATGAAACAAAGTACCCTATATTTTGTGGATGTACAGCTACATTTCTCATGTAAGTTTGCGTAGTTTTAACACAAACATTTATTTTTCATATTGCACCAGTACAGTTAATGAGCAACCTGTACTTGTGTGCTTGTTTGTTCTGTCTAAAATGTTTATTTTGGAATAAAGAGGTTAATATAAAAAATATTTTTTGTCCGATTCATCGATTAATCGAAAAAATAATCGGCCGATTCATCGATTTTTAAAATAATCGTTAGTTGCAGCCCTAATGTAAACCTTTAGGCACAACTGCTTATGTGCATCTCTGAGATCTGCTGCGAGTGCAGGCACATGTGCACACTTGACCTCAGCAGAGGGTAGGGCCCAGGTGTGCTGATCCACACACTGCAGTTCTGCCATGAAGGAAATTAGAATCTTAAGGACACTCTGCAAGTACAACTTGAAATTACAGCCTTTTCTTTAAATTTACAGTTACATGCAAAGCCAATATCTAACTTCCCATTAATGATCACCATTGAGTACAGCTGGTCATTTCTCTTTAGCAGCATCAAGATACTGTTATTCTCTGGCAGCACTCATCCAACTGTCCGACTTTTATAACAATGGAGAAGTTGGAATTGTACCATCAGTTCAAATATTTAAGTGAGTTAATCTGATATCTCTTTGCTTCGGTCATGCTCAAGACCCAAATGCATCCTACAGATAAAAGAAAAAGTCAGATGTGAAAGATCTGACTCTTAAGCTTTAACAACAATACATTTTTTTTGGAAGGATTAGGAACACTGAATCAATCATCAAGCTTGATAGTGGTAAAATAATGCTTTGGGGCATTTTTACACTCAGTGGTTCTGCTGCAGGAGTGGTCAAATATTTAACAAGAATTGCTCCAGGGGTTTGAAGGAGGCTACAGAAAGCATAAAGTTAGGTTGACACATTTCATTTACTTAACTGCTAGTGGAAAACTTTGCATGTTTTGAGTCCATGTTTAGAACTTTGACCATTTATTATGCATTTTTATTATTTAAAATCTGTAATTTCGAAAAACTACATATATATTTTGTCTTATCCGGCAGTGAATATGAGGAAAGTTCTAACCAGAACTACTTCCGCAGCACATGTCTCAACATATGGATTAAGATAATTTCAGTGGTAGGATGCAGAAGGCGGTACGTACAGGTGTTGGGGGTTCCAGTTGGCGGAGGCAGGTAGGAACCTGCTTTCCAGGACTTGGCTTTGAAGCCTTTCTTGCATCGCTGGCAATCTTGCCCGGTGGTGTTGTGTTCACACTGGCACTGGAGGTTCCCTTCAATCAGCAGGCACTGGGAGGCATGGAGGTTACACTTACACCTGTAAGAAGAACCAGAAAAAACAGTCAGCATGTGGAAATGTACACTATGATCCACTAATGCAGCATGTGGGAATGCTATAAATACATCGGTGATTTAAATGGAAATAAAGAATATATATTAAAAATGTACCGACATCTGTTTCAAAAACAGATTGCTGAAACTGCATTTAGAAAAAAACAAACCCTACAAAACTGACTGATTTATGCAATATCTTAAGAAATGTTTCTTTGATGCGATGGTTTATTGTGTTAACAGTCATATTTCCATTTCTAATATATTCATTTCTGCCTCAGAAGTCAGTGACAGAACCACAGCATCCTTTTCCTGTTTTGATGTTTGCTCACACAGTTTGTACAGCTGCCATCCCATCTGATTCTGTTATTTGATTTCACTTGCAGCATTACTTCCTCTACCCACTGAGGGAAGTGAAAAAATTATAGATTTTCTCTTAATTAGTTTATTTAGTAATGGATTGTGAAAATTACACATTTTGCAAATACATATATTGGTCACTTGACAGTAAATCAATATGTACAGTAAAGATTTCAATAGCATCTTTGATTTATTTTAGCATCCAAAAATAATCCAATAAAAGAGTAGCATTTATTTTTTTTCTTTACACCGAGGATCCTCAACCTTTACTGAATGGCACAGATCTGATTTTTACATTCTACATTTTCAACAGAAAGTGAACACCACATCCTTTTTATTATATTGGCTCAGAGATTAAATACAAAATAACTAAATATGTATGCAAAATTGTAAACACAATCAATTACTGTTCCTAAATTACAGCTTTTAAAACCCAAGATTGCACAACTCGAGTAAAATATGACAGGAAACAGATTCATCAAAACAGCAGAGATTATACCTGTTCAGAGATGGAGAGATTAGAAAGCAACCTTGAGTGAACAGTCTATTTTTCCTACCATCTTTCTTTTTTGTCACATTCACTTTATTACATGTAACTTAATTTCTGGACATCTATGGTTTGATTTTTTTGCATGTGTGGATTGCATGGATTGTTACATGCATGTTACTTGATACATCTGGTGAAAAATATGGACCTATATACATATATATATATGTTATTGAGAAAAATGGTGGCATGTTCAAAACTTATTTCACCTGCTACACACACACACACACACACACACACACACACACACACACACACACACACACACACAAACACACACACACATATATATATATATATATATATATATATATATATATATATATATATATATATATATATATATATATATATATATATATATATATATATATATATGAAAAAAATAACCTGCCAGTTATTTTTATTACGTTGGTTGGTTAGTAAACAAGTCTTATGAGGCTCCTGAACTAAGGTGTTTTCTGTAATGTTCAGGAAATATTCAGTCATAATTTTATTTAATGGGAAGGTATGTAAACTTTCAGGCACAGCTGCTTATGTGCATCTCTGAGATCTGCTGCGAGTGCAGGCACATGTGCACACTTGACCTCAGCAGAGGGTAGGGCCCAGGTGTGCTGATCCACACACTGCAGTTCTGCCATGAAGGAAATTAGAATCTTAAGGACACTCTGCAAGTACAACTTGAAATTACAGCCTTTTCCAGTTGAGTGACTGGACTCCAATCCAGTTTGTTCCACTGGAGTGAACACCTATCCGTCTGCATCAAATATTCAAAGAATTGCCTCTGTATTCTAGTCAAGATGACTGCTTCAATTTTCTTTTCTCACACTAATCTTCGACACTGCCATCTTTCTTTTTTTTAAGCAGAAGTAGTGAGTATTCATCAAGTACAGATCTAATTTTGCAACAACAAATGATAACAAATATTAATCATTAAATGTGGAGAGACTATAATAATGAAAACAGTGTTGATAGAAATATTGTGTCTCAGATCAACAGCTTGATGGTGGTCCCATGAATTACCCCCATCTCATTCTGACAGGACATGCCACAGAAAATCCATCGACCAACAAAGCCTCATTTCCTGCCGGCCTTCTGAAGGACAAGCGCTGTCCACTTAGGGAAGACTGAAATTGGAAATCTCTTTTTTCATGACGAAAACAGTCCGTATGAGATAGTGAATGTGTGTCAAATGAGACAGGTGTGTGTATGTGCGGTTCTACTTCATGAGTTGCATTGGTTTGTGGGTGTAGAAGACAGACAACGGTTCAGGAAAAAACAGACACATTGTGACTGACAGCGTTGAACATATCACTGCTTTTCATCTCCTGAATCTTTGCTGATAAATCTCATCTGTCTCATCTTGAAAGCAGAAGCATTGCTCAGCACACATTCTAAGAGTTGCAGCTTAAATCAATAGTGAAGAATAGAGGTGTTGTGCGAGGCAGTTTGTGTCTTGCAGGTCTAATAAGCGGTCTCATTCAGCGGTCCTGCCTGTTAAATTGAAGACAAGCACACTTCAGGCTGACATTAACATTAAAAGGCAAAGGGGTCTGGAATTTTGTTACAAACCCTCAAAACTCATCAACAAAAATCATACTCATTTAATTTTTTCATATTTTGTTATGTTATAAACACATTATACCTATAGTGAAACATGGTGGTGGAAACATCATGCTGTGAGGATGCTTTCCTGTAGCATTGACAGGAGAGCTATTAAGGTGGATGAATGAGTATGTATGAATGACACACTTTTCATATATCTATTTGTAAAAGTATACCAAAAAAAAAAAGGTTAAATTTTCTCTTACTTCTCAATTATGCAGTATGTTCTACCGGAGAAAGGGTTCAAGGAGAATGAATAATTTTGCAAGGCCGAGTTAGTAATTAGAAACATGTAAGTCGCACTTGGTCATATCCCCTTGACCTGATTTTCTGACCTTAACCTAACAAATACTGCCGATGAAGACCACAAGTACTTTCAGCCTTGCACTCCTTCCGCATGAATGATGTGACACTCTGACTTCTCGAGTTATATATCTCTCTGCTCTCACTCTTGCATTTGACAGGTTGCTCTGGGATTTTCCCATCCCTCTTTTCAGTCCCTTCACACACAAATAATACATGGGAACAATCATATGATAATGCGCAAGATGTCTGCCTTTGCTGCAAAGTCATCAAAGCAGGAAAGCAGCAACGAGATGAAGGAAGTTAAGATGGGACGGCTGGATCCATCAGAATTGTTTTTAGTTACTTAGTGAGGGAGGAAGCAGATGAAGACAGAGGAGACCAAATGGAGACAGAGTTTTTTTTTCTTTATTATTCAGAGCAGACAGAGTACTCACTCCCCTTTACATTAGAACCCACTCATAAAATAGAGTTTTAATTAGCTGCAGTAATTACAGGACAATGTTTCTGCTCATCAATCTGCTCAGAGCATTTTCTGCCATCAGGGAAGCTGGTTTTTTTAGTTTGTCATGTTTTTTTTTTTTTGCATGAATGCGCATGCACACATGTAGAGGATATTGGTGAGACAATGAATACATGATAGGAAGTGGTCAGAAGCCAAATCAGAAAACAGAGTCAATTATATATATATTTCAGTCCAAAATGATAATAAAAGGAGAGCACATCCAATACATTGATTAAACATGGGCCATATGCTGTATGCTTCAGTGCTCTATAGCTGCTACTTACTAAATACTTATTACGGAAAGGAAAATCAAACAATCAGAGCTCTTACTTTAGGTTGATTAAAGGTATAAAGGAAAATCTTTTATTTCCGGGTGGATCATCTAAATAAGTGGTCCTCCTAATTGTCAATCATTCTGATGATATGTTTACGTAAGGCCATCCTACATGCTCGTCCCGTTAGCTATCTTTTTCTGCGTATGCGCACGTTCAGGCGTATATCTGTGGTGAGCTACGGTTTCAGACAGTCACTGAAGCTCACCTTTCTCCCCGCGGTTCTTTGAAAATGGAGGATGCAGATATATCCCAGAATGCTTTGCGGAGAGAGCTCTCCTCCCAAAGCTTTATTATTTGCTGTCACAGCGGCCTGTCACTTCACACATCGAGTGGAGAGGGCGGGTCTTTAAAAAAACTTGTGAAAATCCTCCACAATACCTTTAATGTGTGTAATCCACAGGTGTGTGTAATTTCTATCAATTAGACCAAGCTGTAAGGAAAAATCTGGAATGTTTTCAGCATCCCTTTAAAATGAAGAACAATGAGGATTCAGTGGTCTACTGCATCATTACCAGGTGTGCTACCTTTCCATGATCACACGATCAGAATATAAAATCAGCATTCTTTCGTTGTTACTTCACTCAAACTAAATGGTAATGGTATCTGTTTTTATTTTTTTTTTTTATGTGGATTGATGCTCCTAAATAGAGCAGGTTCAGCAGGGATTGCTAGCATATTTTTGTTTTGCAGAAAGTGATGAGGGCTTTTATTTTTTCATAGGAGTCTGATGCCGCTTTATTCTGTGCATTAAAAGGAAGATAAGAAATTCTTTAGTCTAATTAAATGCAGATACCAGTAAACAGTGTGGATTATGCTCTCAAATTTAAGGAGCAAAAAAAAAAGAAAAGAAATAGTAATATTCATGGATGATTTCAATTCAGGACTTGAATATATGTACTGTTAAAGAATTGTGTTATCGCCATAGTTATTTACAATAATAGCCTTTATAATGGTACAATACATGTTATTTCTCTTGCAAATCTTGCTGTTTGTCTGAGTCAGTCCCCCATATACTGCATTTTCTAAGTCAGGTTGCCCTAACTGTTTAATGATTTGAAAATGCCTGATTTAGACAGCAGAGAAGCAGCAATTATGGGAATAAATAAGAAGAAAGATAAACAAACATCAAGAGGGAGTCATGTGGTGACGGAGTCTAAAAAAACAGCTGGAAGCATCAGTTAATGGCACTTTATTTGTCTCTTTGCTGCAGCCTATGAGCATTCCTCCATTGCTCACCAGGGACACAGCTATCACTCACTTTTTTCTTGCAACAATTCCTGCTGACTTTTGTCCAAAATTCGTTCTTCTGAAACCGTCCTATGCACATTGGC